AAAGAAGAGGGAGCCAAGCTATTCTCCAAAGCACCAGAAGGCAGGACAAGAAGCAATGGGTGGAAACTCATCAAGGAAAGAAGCAACTTAGAACTAAGGAGAAACTTCCTGACATTTAGAACAATTAATCAGTGGAACTTCTTGCCTTCAGAAGTTGTGAATGCTACAACACTGGAAGTTTTTGAGAAGAGATTGGACAACCATTTGTCTGAAGTGAAAGAGTCAGGATCAGATTGCTGTGCTCGAATAAAGAGAAAATTTCCTTAAAGATCGGCAGTTTGGAAATTCATTTATTTTGAGATAGCATCGAAACCTGACAGTAGGGTTTCCTGCCTAAGCAGGGGGTTGGACTAGAAGACCTCCAAGGTCCCTTCCAACTCTGTTATTCTATTCTATTCTATTCTATTCTATTCTATTCTATTCTATTCTATTCTATTCTACTCTACTCTATTCCATTCCATTCCATTCCATTCCATTCCATTCTTCATTTCTATTCTATTCTATTCTATTCTATTCTATTCTATTCTATTCTATTCCATTCCATTCTATTCTATTCTATTCTATTCTATTCTATTCTATTCTATTCTATTCTATTCTATTCTATTCTATTCCATTCCATTCCATTCTTCATTTCTATTCTATTCTACTCTACTCTACTCTACTCTACTCTACTCTACTCTACTCTACTCTACTCTACTCTACTCTATTCTATTCTATTCTATTCTATTCTATTCTATTCTATTCTAAAAGCTAGGTTTTACACCTGGGCAGTAAAAACCAAAGGTACAAGGCGAAACCTGGCTCAAAAACAATAAATGTGAAATGGACTTTGGGGTCCTAGTGGAAGATCACACAACATGAGCCAGCCGTGTGCAACAGCAGTCAAAAAAGCTAATACAATCCTTGGTTGTATAAGCAGAGGCACAGAATCAAAATCAGGTGAAGTCTTAGTACCACTATATAAATCCTTAGTAAGGCCTATTGTGGGATTCAGCCGGTTCGGGAGAACCGGTTGTTAACTTTCTGAGCAGTTTGGTGAACTGGTTGTTGGAAGTAATCATTAGGGCAGAGAACCGGTTGTTAAAATTATTTGAATCCCACCACTGAGTAAGGCCACACCTGGAATAACTGCATCCAGTTTTGGTCCCCACATTACAAAAAAGATGTTGAAACTTTGGAAAAAGTGCAAAGAAGAGCAACTAAGACAAGCAAACGCCTGGAGACAAAAATGCATGAAGAACGGCGTGAAGGACATATAAAAAAAAAAGGTAAGGTTTTCATTCCAGCATTTGTCAACTCCCATCCTTTGATTTTTATTTTTATTTTAAATTTGATTTATATGCCGCCCTTCTCCGGAGACTCAGGGCGTCTTACAATGCGTTAAGCAATAGCCTTCATACTTTTGTATATTTTATACAAAGTCAGCTTATTGCCCCCACAAACTGGGTCCTCATTTCACCTACCTTAGAAAGGATGGAAGGCTGAGTCAACCTTGAGCCTTGGAGAGATTCGAACCAGCAGAAATTGCAGGCAGCTGTGTTAATAACAGGGTGCACTAAACCACTGTACTATCAAGGCTCCTGATTCCCAGAGATTCCTTTTTTTTTGGATCGAAACAAAAGATGGAGGCCGAAGCGTCCTGCTGGTTCATGCAGGTTAATCGGAGGGATCTGTTGTTGTGAGAAAGGAGGGCAGCCAAGAGAGAACCTGCCTCTGGGAGCTTAAGCCCTTTCTTATGCTCACAAATAACCCAAAACTGCAATTTTTAAGACTCGCCTGCCAGACAGATGGGGAGCTTAAAATCATAAGCTTTTCAACATTTGGTGGGATTTTAGAGGTCATTTAGTCTTACCCCCACCTTGCATTAAGTAAGTTCACAGGATCCGGCATCCGTGACAGCCAATAAAAAAGATACAACTGAGCACTACAGCCTTGAAATATTCGCGTTCAGCCGGAAAAAAAAACAGAAAACCAGAGAGAGATGTCTTCATACAGGTTGTCCTTGACTTACAATGGTTCATTTAGTGACCGTTTGAATTTACAACGGCACTGGGGAAAAAATAACATAGGGCCGTTTTTCACATCAGAAACTCCGCCATTGTTGAACACGCAGAGCTCTTTCTGTAGGCATGCCAGCCGTCGCCCCAGTCCAGCTCTATCGCGCATATGCGCACACCTCCTGGCGGCCAGCTGGTTTTCGGGTCTCTGCCACGCATGTGTATGGGGTGGGGTGCATGTGGGGGACATGTGTGTACATGTGCGGGGGAACGGGGTGCATGGGGGGGGGCTCGCATGGCGCCCCGGTGCCCTGTTTTGCCTGCCAGGTTGGTGCAGGAGGAAACAAAAAAATTGCATTTTTAATATTGCACTAAATCAGGGGTCCTCAAACTACGGCCCCTGGGCCGGATACGTGCAAAGAACATTTGTGTTGCTGCAAAGAGTCTCCCCCTTTGGGGTCTTTTTGTGCGGGTTGGAGGGGGGCAGAAATTCCGACTTGGGGTCTGCTTCAGCCTCCTGGTGTGGGGCTTTTGGGCAAAAGCTGGAGGGAAGCGCCGCTGTTGGCAAAGAGCCGGAGTGCCTTGTTCCAATGGGACTGCCTCATGACCTGGAACTGGCTGACTCTCAGCCTGCTGAGCCTCCAGGCGCTGATACCTGGCCTTGCACTCCCGCAGGTCTTCCCTCTGCTTGGAAAGCCTATGCTCCTAGTCCTCAGTGAGGTGCTTCTGCTGAGCCTCCTTTTCGGCCAGATCCAGTTTGAATTGAGCAGCTGTTTTGCCAATTCTTTCTCGTGGTGGCTGCTTAGCTCCAACAACTGCTTCCTGTTTTGTTTTTTTAATTTGATTTATATGCCGCCCTTCTCCGGAGACTCAGGGCGGCTTACAATGCGCTAAGCAATAGCCTTCATACTTTTGTATATTTATACAGAGTCAGCTCAGCTTATTGCCCCCACAAACTGGGTCCTCATTTCACCTACCTTAGAAAGGATGGAAGGCTGAGTCAACCTTGAGCCTTGGCGAGATTCGAGCCCTGCAGTAATTGCAGGCAGCTGGTCTTAATAACCAGCTTAATAACAGGGTGCCTTAAACCCCTGTACTACCAAGGCTCTGTTGGGGCCCTAAGGAACCCAGGTGGGCAGGTGAGGAGTGGCTGGGACAGGCGAGTAGAGGCCGTCGAGGCGCCCCTCGCCGTGAGTGACATCAAGCTGGCCACGCCCACCCAGTCACATGACCACCTGGCCACGCCCGCCCATCCAGTCATTAGGCAGATCGTATTAGTGGTCCGTGGGATTTAAAATGATGAATTTAGTGGTCCCTGAAGTCCGAGAGGTTGGGGACCCCCTGGACTAGATGATCCTTAGAGCCCCTGCCGGCTCTAGGAGAGCGAAATCTTGCAAGAGACGGAAGCCAAGGTGCGCCGCAGCATGTTAAAATATGCTTTGCTCAGCGCGAGAAGCTTGGCAGACCTTCAAGTGAGATTTTTGATTTCGAATCCCTTTGGTATCGAAGACTAAAAATAATGAACGTTAGGCCAAACCTTCGGAAGTGCGGTAATTGGGGGAAGCAGGGCTGAGGGAGGAAGCATCTGCTCGGCAGGAAAATATTCCGGATTTAAACCTAGGGAATAGGAGAGATGGAGGGGCGGAAGTGTGGTTCCACAACAACCGCCAGAGTAGTTGCTACGTTAGCTATGAGGAACTGTAGGAGACATATCTTCAATACAGGCCCGTCCTCGACTTACGACCGCAACTGAGCTCAAGATTTCTGATGCTAAGCGAGACAGTTGTAAAAGGGAGTTTTGGCTCACTTTACGACCTTTCTTGCCGCGGTTGTTAAGCGAATCACTGAGGATGTTAAGTTAGTCCCACGGCGGTTAAATGGATAGGGTTCCCCCGTTTGACTTTGCTCGTCACAAGTTCGCAAAAGATGATCAGCTGATTCTAGGACACTGGTCATAAATGCGAAGCAGTTGCCAAGCATCTGAATTTTGATCTCGTGGGATGCTGCAACGGTCGTAAGTGTGAAAATGGTTGTAAGTCACTTTTTTCAGTGCCGTTGTAACTTCAAACAGTCTCTAAACGAATGGTTGTAAGATGAGGACTAGCTATACAGATAGTCCTCTACTTACAACAGTTCATCTAGTGACCATTCAAAGTTAAAACGGCACTGAAAAATGTGACTAATGAATGTTGTTCACAGTTACGACCTTTGCAGCATCCCCATAATCATGTGATCAAAATTCAGACGCTTGGCAACTGGTTCGTATTTATGACCGTTGCGGTATCCCAAGATCACGTGATCCCCTTTTGCGACCTTCTGACAAGCAAAGTCAATGGGGAAGCCAGATTCACTTAACAACCAGGTTACTAACTTATCAATTGAAGGTGATTCACTTAACAACTGTGGCAAGAAAGGTCGTAAAATGGGGCAAAACTCCCTTAAAGAAATGTTTCACTCAGCAACATAACATTTGGGCTCAATTGTGGTCGGAAGTCGAGGACTACGTGTATTTATATAAGCAAGCTCCACCTTTTCAATCGGTCACGTCCCTTCTAGGGGTGGGCTGCTGGGGGTTCGCAGGGGTTCGGGCGAACCTCTAGCTAAGATTTGGTGCAATTCAGAGAATCCCCAAATCCCACTCCTGGCTGGCCCCACCCACCCCACCCCGCCCCTCCCAGGAGTCCCCACACGGCCCGTTTTGGATGTAAGTGCAGGCACGTGCGGAGGCTTGGGGAGGGCGAAAAGTGGGCCTACCGGAAGAGCCTCCGGTGCCTGGGGAGGCCATTTTCGCCTTCCCGGAAGCTTGAGAAAAGCCTCTGGAGCCCGAGGAGACCAATTAGGCCACTCCCACCATGGCCATGCCCATTCAGCAACCAGGCAGACAACCCCTTGCTAAAATTTTTGAAGCCCACCCCTGGGTCCCTCCCCCTGGCATGGAAGCCTCACCTCCCTGACTTGCTGGCTCCTCCCACAGAGAGAGAGAGAGAGAGAGAGAGAGAGAAAGACTTTTTCTGTTTTTCTGTTTAACGCAGCCGCCTCCCTTTGCTTTCCTGGCGCTTCAGCCGTGCTCAGGCTGTTCTTGCATTTTAGTGGCATTTCCCCGTCGCTGGCTTCTTTTCAACTGTCTGCAAGCAGTACTTGATGGCAACAAAGGAAAGGTTTAAACACGCTGTTGTGTGTTTGCTGCGACTACCGTCGGCGGCTCTGGCAAGACGGTGGATCTGAAAGGCTGTTTAGAAATAGGGGAGATAAACAAGCAAAGAGACAGTCACACATACACACCACTCCAAAAAAAAAAAAAAAACCCTTCTCCGCAAGCCTACTCAGAAATACGTATTGAAGGGAAGCCAAACAGGAGTCCCTATAAATTTCTTCGCTCTGTTCCTTCCCATGTTATGCTAAGCACGTTTACGCCAAAGCTTGGCCTATTTGCAGATTTAGGATGTCTTGCAACAGCCTTTCCAATATGGCTGTGTTAAAAAAAAAAAGAGTTTGAAAAGAACCGAATAACAAAACGAAACACCTTTCCACCCTTATTTTTAAAAAGCCACCCATAAATTTAAAAAAAACCCTGTACTTTAAAACAGGTTACAGGTAGTTCTACAACAGTTCATGTAGAGACCTTTCCAAGCTGCAACGCCACTGGGAAAAAAAGGGACTTACGACCGTTTTTCAAACTTACGACCATGGCGACATCCCTATGGTCAGGTGATCAAAAAACCCCAAACAACTGGGTCATATTTATGACGGTTGCAGTGTCCCGGGATCATGTGATCCAGTGGTGAAATACATTTTTTTTTACTACCTGGTTCTGTGGATGTGGCTGGTGTGGCTTGGTGGGCGTGGCAGGGGAAGGATACTGCAAAATCTCCATTCCCACCCCACTCCAGGGGGAAGGATACTGCAAAATCTCCATTCCCAGAACACTCTGGGGCCAGCCAGAGGTGGTATTTGCCAGTTCTCCGAACTACTAAAAATTTCCGCTACCGGTTCTCCAGAACCTGTCAGAACCTGCTGGATTCTGACGTGATTTCATCCCTTTTTGCGACCTTCTGAGAAGCAAAATCAATGGGGAAGCTAGATTCACTTAATAACGTGTTACTAAATTGAAGAACTACAGCAATTTGTGGCAAGGAAAGTCATAAAATGAGACTGAACTCACTCAACAACTCTCTCGCTTAGGCAATGGAAATTTGGGGCTCAATTGTGGTCGAGAATTAGCTGTATAAGCAATCAAAGGAGTTCGTATCTAGAGATGGCCTTCGTTTTATTTTTCTTTAATTTCTCCACATTAGTGTTTCTCAACTTTGGCAACTTTAAGATGTGTGGACTTCAATTCCCAGAATTCCCCAGTCAGCACTTCCAGGGAAGGAATGGTGGACTATTTATTTTTATTTTATTTTTTATTTATTTTATTTTGTCAAACACGTGTAATATAACAGATATACGTATAAATATGATTACGAATACAGGAAATGGATACGAATAAATGGGGACAGTAGGACAGGGACGGTAGGCACGCTGGTGCACTTATGCACACCCCTTACAAACCTCTTAGGAATGGGGTGAAGTCAACAGTGGACAGTCTTAAGGTTAAAGTTTTGGGGGTTTGGGGAAGAAACCACAGAGTCAGGTAGTGCATTCCAGGCATTGACCACTCTGTTGCTGAAATTGTATTTTCTGCAATCGAGTTTGGAGTGTTTTACCTTGAGTTTGTATCTATTGTGTGCTCGTGTATTATTGTGGTTGAAGCTGAAGTAGTCATTGTCAGGTAGGACGTTGTAGCAGATAATTTTGTGTACTACGCTTAGGTCAGACCAAAGGCGGCGTAGCTCTAAATTATCTAAGCCCAAAATTTCAAGCCTGGTGGCATAAGGCAGAGGAGTGGAGGACTCTTCTTGTGAAATACCTCTGGACTCGCTCAATTGTATTAATGTCTGATATGCAGTGCAGGTTCCAAGGACATGAGCTGTATTTGAGAATTGGTCTAGCAAAGGTTTTGTATGCCTTAGTTTGCAGTACAATATTATTTAAGACAGCTTTGCTTTTAGTGGAGCTGACAATCACAGTGGGAAGGAACTGAATTCCTCTCTGGATAAAGATGAGGACTTGAGATGGGCCCAGAGTGCTCTTTACAGATGTTTCCTGTATCCAGACTCTAAAAACGGGGATTTTTGTATATTTTAGAGCTCTGGGAGAGACAGTTTTGCTCAAGCTGGTTCAGAGTGTTTCAAAAGGACACTGAATTCCCCGATTTCCTCACTTAATCACTTTTATTTGAAATACCCTGTAAATTGTGTTTTTAAGACATTAAGAACCTCCAGAAGGACAAATTTTATTACACTGGGCGATTTTCCTTCAACCAGCAGCAGCAGCAAAAGAAGATTTATGCAAGTTTAAGACTTTAAAAAAAACTTTTCCTACTTGGAATTAAGGATGATTAGAATGTTGATTTTGGAAAATTTTCAAAGGGACTAAGAAGTCAGATTGCCTGGAAATAAGATTTTTTGGAGAAGTTATACTTCGTTGAAGACAATTTTTTTCCTGTGCATTTTTAGAGAAAATGAGAGGGCATTGTGCAAAAGGAAAAAGAAATATGAAATTGATTTGCTTGTTCAAAGTTTATATAATAAAGCTTCAGCTTTCAATCTTAATCAGCAAAAGTTCATTAAGAAGTATCAGAAATATTCAGATAGATGGATGGATGGATGGAGAGAGAGAAAGATAGAGAAACATGATTATTTCTGACAGAAATTAATGGACTTTTGCTGATTAAGATTGAAAATTGAAGCTTTATTATTTGACAATAGATAAAAATGAGATACGAGATAGATTTTGGTTAAAATATTAGACATGGTGTTGAGATATTGAAAATATTTGTACTTGTTTTGACAAAGAAGGAAGTAATTTCATTTTTTAATTCTTTTTTTATTGAATATATTTTTCTCTTTTCCCCTCCCCCATTTCCCCCTTTTTTTTCACTTTTTCTCCTTTATATGTTTTTCTTCGTTTGTATTAGTTAATTATCTCCATATTTTAAAACTTCAATAAAAACATGATCAGAAGTTCCCAGCCATCTTGCAAATGCCCAATTATGACTCCTTTTCCTTTCCACTAATTATGTAGGCAATTATTACTCAACCTTTGCCGCGCTGGCTGGGGAATTATGGGAGTTGAAGTCCACAAAGGCTAGTGGGAGAATTATGGGAGTTGAATGTTGCTTTTATCAGATTGACTCCCTTGGGGACATTGCCGACAACATGTGTGAACCAGCCTGTGTGTGTGTTATTTTCTGGATCAGAGAATTGCTGACAGAGCTTTGGGAGGCTTTAGATGTGGATTTGCACCATTTTGGAATTTTCAACCATGGCAGCTTTTAAGAGGTGTGGACTTCAGCTCCCAGAATTCCCCAGTCAGCTATGCTGAGGTGTGGACTTCAGCTCCCAGAATTCCCCAGTCAGCCATGCTGAGGTGTGGACTTCAGCAGAATTCCCCAGTGCTGAGGTGTGACTTCAGCAGAATTCCCCAGTCAGCCATGCTGAGGTCCAGGAATTCCCCAGTCAGCTATGCTGAGGTGTGGACTTCAGCCCCCAGAATCCCTCAGCCATGATCAGCAGTCAGTATGCTGAGGTGTGGACTTCAGCCCCCAGAATTCCCCAGTCAGCTATGCTGAGGTGTGGACTTCAGCTCCCAGAATTCCCCAGTCAGCTATGCTGAGGTGTGGACTTCAGCTCCCAGAATCCCCAGTCAGCTATGCTGAGGTTTGGACTTCAGCTCCCAGAATCCCCAGTCAGCCATGCTGAGGTGTGGACTTCAGCCCCAGAATTCCCCAGTCAGCCATGCTGAGGTGTGGACTTCAGCCCCCAGAATTCCCCAGTCAGCCATGCTGAGGTGTGGACTTCAGCTCCCAGAATTCCCCAGTCAGCCATGCTGAGGTGTGAACTTCAGCTCCCAGAATTCCCCAGTCAACTATGCTGAGGTTTGGACTTCAGCTCCCAGAATTCCCCAATCAGCTATGCTGGGCTAGGGAATTCTGGGAATTGAAGTCCACACTTTTTAAAGTGGCCAAGGTTGAGAAACACTGATTTAAATCAACTAAAATCCACTGTTCATTCAAACTAGAAACATCATCATAGAGAATCAGAGCTGGATTATTAGGAAAACGGTACCTAAAAAATGGATTTTTCTCCGTTCTTCTGCCAGTTGAAGCAGGAATCTATATATAGGGGAAACAGGATAGTGTCCCACCTCGCAGGGTTCTTGTGAGGATGAGATGCATGAAGCACCTCAAAACCTCTAAAAGGAGCCAACAGAATGTAAATGTTTAATATAACAAGGAAAAAGATTGAGAGAAAAAAACATTTTTTTACTTCTTCTGTGACCAGAGAAAAGGAATTCTGGAATTTAGGTGATACTTGACATTCATCATCCTTTTTTTAAAAAAGCATTTTTGAATGGGGACGTTTTCGGTCATACATTTTATTTCATTTATTTATTATTAGACTTCTAGGCCTCCCATCTCACCGAGGCCCCCTGAAGTAGCTTAGCTTGCAAATTGACTGGAGGTGGAGAGAATTAAATTATTCTATACATTCCAAAAAGAAAAAGAAAAGAAAAATTAAAGTTGATTTAGGGGCAAAAAAAGGGGGGGGGGGAAGTAAAGCAAGAGGCTCCATTGGTTAATCCCTACTGCCATCTGGTGGCTGGTTAAAGAATCGCAGGAGTTGAGACGCCGACCAATGGGAGACGTTGAAAAGCAGAGATGAGGTCATCCAAACTCAGATTTTGCATTTTGCAACTGAAAGTAGATCCATTGGGCGTTTCAGAAGGAGAAAAGCATTGTTTAATGGCAGGACATCTATTTTAACGCAAAAATTCCCAAATTCAACCACCACCAACCTCAGGAAGGTTTAGTCTTAATTTTGGTCAGCCGAGACTCATATTTTAACTACTGTATATTCTGCTTTTTTATGATCTATGGTAGCTTGTTCCACACTAATTTATAAAAAATAATAGAACAGCAGAGATCTAGTCTTTTGAGTCTTAATTCTTCCCAGTTAAAAAATAATCGGAATAATCTTCAGATTCTTCAGAACGTTAAAAAGACGGAAAGGACAATCAGGAACTTTAGAAGAAGAGAAAATGGGAAGGTTTAATTTTGAGAAAAAATAATCTCAAGAGGGAAGGCCAAGCAATACAGGTAGTGCTCGCAATTGAGCCCCAAATTTTCTGTTGCTAAGCGAGACAGCAGTTAAGCGAACTTTACCCCATTTTACGACCTTTCTTGCCGCAATTGTCACGTCAATCACTGCAGTTGTTAAGTTAGTCACCCAGTTAAGTGAATCTAGCTTTCACGTTGACTTTGCTTGTCAGGTCACAAAAAGAGGATCACAAGACACCGTGACACTGCAATCGTCATAAATATGAACTGCCGGGGGAGGGGGGGTCTGAATGTTGATCACGTGACCACAGGGATGCTGCAACGGCTGTGTGTGGAAAACAGTCATAAGGCACTTTTTTCAGTGCCATTGTAAACTCCGAATGGTTACTAAATGGAACGGTTGTAAATCGAGGACTACGTGTAAGGGATTTAAGTCACCAGGAGGGATGTTAGAAAAAAATCTCTCACAAAGAGCCGTCAGACAATGCAAAGCCCCAGAGAGATGCTGACTTGGTTGCATTCAAACTGCAGTTGGACAACTATCAGAGTTCCTAAACTAACCTCTAAGCAGAGAAAGGGGTTGGTCTTGATGCTCTCAGGGGTACCATCCTGGCTTTTAAGTTCTTATATTTCTACTTGCTTAAGAAATTTGTAAGGTTGACTAACTCTACAATGATTTGGGTGCCAAACACCATAAGTGCAACCGTATAATGCATTTTTACAAAAGTACCACCCGTACATCAGGATAAAAGATATCATTAAAATTGACAATAAAGCACATAGGATGTGGGTAAATACTCTACACCAGGGTCTCCAACCTTGGCAACTTTAAGGCTTGTGGACTTCAGCTCCCAGAATTCTGGGAGCTGAAGTCCACAAGCAAAGCTGGCTGAGGAATTCTGGGAGCTGAAGTCCACAAGCAAAGCTGGCTGAGGAATTCTGGGAGCTGAAGTCCACAAGCAAGCTGGCTGGGGAATTCTGGGAGCTGAAGTCCACAAGCAAAGCTGGCTGAGGAATTCTGGGAGCTGAAGTCCACAAGCAAAGCTGGCTGAGGAATTCTGGGAGCTGAAGTCCACAAGCAAAGCTGGCTGAGGAATTCTGGGAGCTGAAGTCCACAAAGTTGCCAAGGTCGGAGATCCCTGCTCTAAATAAGGAGTCCGCAATGCCCAGTCCATAGACTGGCACACGGCATGCCAGAAACCGGGCCACGCCAACAAGCGAAGCCCCATCCGTGGGATGCAGGCAGCATGCGAAACCACGCCTCCTCTAGTCCATGGAAAAACGTCTCTCCACGGAACCGTTCCTGGTGTCCAAAGGGTTGGGGGCTGCTGCTCTAAACCAGGGCCTGGGGGGGGGGGATCAGGGGTTCAGAGCTTTTTTTTAAACGTGGCTTGTGCGGGAGGGGGAGATATCTTGGATTAGATGACCATGGGGAGGTCAAAAAAATCAATATGGCAGCAATAACTGGTGTCCCAGGGGGCAAAAGTGGTAGCTGTAAACAGACAAGGTTAATTTCTCAGGTTCCCATCCCTGCAGCTTAATAAATGGGATCTGGATCGGGTCTACGCTGTCTGGTTCTACAGGCCAAGCATCAAACGAGGGGGTTGGACTAGATGACCTCTGAAGTTCCAACTATCTTTCCACAATTGCAAAAAAGGCATCCATTCAAATTGGTGAGGTGCTTCCTTGCCACCCAGTCAAGTTTCTAAAACGCTTTGTTCTTTTTCTTCTGCAGGCGGCCTCCTCTGTCTGTTTCAGCCACTCAATTTTCTTTCCAACGTGACCCCTGAGGACTTCAGAGGGATCCTTCAAATGAGGACATCGCTGGAAGCAAAGGCTTCTCTTTGTAGCAGGCTGGGCTTCTCGTTCTGCTTTTTGAAAGAACGTTAATTTTCAAACCTGCCCACTTTAAGATGGGTGGACTTCAACTCCCAGCATGCCAGCTGGGGAATTCTGGGAGTTGAAGTCCACGCATCTTAAAGCATGTCAGTTTAGGAATTCTGGAAGTTTAAGTCCACCCACCTTGAAACATGCTGCCAGGAGAATTCTGGGAGTTGAAGTCCACCCACTTTAAAATTGCCAAGTTTAAGAAACACGTCCCCCACCCACCCCCAAATCAATCTTGCCTTCTGCTTTTTCCCCATTCCCTTTCAAACTGTAAATTTTTTATCTTTTTTTTTTCTGGGTACGGTGCCCACTCACTAACACCTAAGCAGCTTATCCAGCATGCCAAAGGAAGATTGAACGCTGGCCAAATCGAATAGATAGTCCTCAACTTGCAACCATTTGAAGTTACAAAAACATTGAAAAAAAGTGACTTAAGACCATTTTTTTTACACTTACAACCACTGCAGCATCGCCACCGTCACATGCTCAAAATTCAGAGGCTTCGCTTTTGCGACCTTCTAACTAAACGAAGTCATTGGGGATGCCAGATCCACTTAAGAACCGTGACTAATCTTAACAAACTGCAGTGATTCCCTTAACAAATGTGGCAAGGTAGGTCGTAAAACGGGGCAAAACTCACTTAACATCTTGCGTAGCGACAGAAATTTCCGGCTCCAATGTGGTTGTAAGTCAAGGACTACCTGTATTCACCCATCCTTCACGGAAAATTTTATTTTCACGGAAAACACGGATAAGGTTATTCGAGTTTATCGGCTCCCCCAATCTGCCCCAAAGATTTTCCCATCAGCTCAATACAGTAAGATTTATTATTTGTGGAAAATGGAATGTTTCCTGCGAAACAACTGAATGGTGTCCCGGTAAGAACCCAGAGCCGGGAAGGGGAGGAAACACACATACACACACAGAGAAAAAAAAAAAACCACGGTTAAGTTCACATCATCTGCAAGCTACTGTGGTGGGCTTCTGTTTCAGCAACAACAGTTCAAGGCCATAACCAGGGGAGCAAAATTCCACAGAGTGGCCAAAGAGTTGTGACGGAAAAGGGGGGGGGGAAATCTTCAATAACGGCGAGCGAAACGCGGGTCGCCCGGCGGAGTTGTTCTATCCTGACTTGCAAAACCGCCTGGCATACTGGGTGCTTGCGCGACTGGGTTCTGCGATCCGTCTTGTGCAAATTCTCCACGCCTGTGTGGACAAAAAAAAAAAGAACTTCTTTAGTTCTGAAGTTTCTTTCACGTTCCTTTAGATGAGGAGCTTTAAGGATGGATTGACAGTTCGGTCTAGCAGCAAAGGGACCAGGCTAGAAACCGTGGAGATGGGGAGTTTTAGTCCTGAACCTAGTTATGGAAGCTGCCTGGGTGACTCTGAGCCAAACGCCAGGAGATGAGGAGTTCTAGTCCCACCTTAGATATGGAAGCTGGGTGACTCTTAACTGGCTGGATGACTCTTAGTCAATCATTAGGAGATGGGGAATTCTAATGCTGCCTTAGCTGTGGAAGCCAACAGGGTGACTTTGGGCCAATCACCAGGATATGGCGAGTTCTAGTCTAGACTAAACATACACAATTCCTGCAATTGTGTATCAAGGAGCCTTGATAGTACAGTGGTTACGCGCCCTGTTATTAACACAGCTGCCTGCAATTTACTGCTGGTTCGAATCTCTCCAAGGCTCAAGGTTGACTCAGCCTTCCATCCTTTCTAAGGTAGGTGAAATGAGGACCCAGTTTGTGGGGGCAATAAGCTGACTTTGTATAAATATACAAAAGTATGAGGGCTATTGCTTAACGCATTGTAAGCCGCCCTGAGTCTCCGGAGAAGGGCGGCATATAAATCAAATTTAAAAAAAAACAAAAAAACCCCCCGTTCTTCATATGTTTTAGCCTCCAGTCCCCTAATCCTTTGTTGCTCTTCTCTGCACTCTTTCTAGAGTCTCAACATCTTTTTTATACCATGGCGACCAAAACTAGATGCAGTATTCCAAGTGTGGCCTTAAAGGTAAAGATAAAGGTAAAGGTTCCCCTCACACATATGTGTTAGCCGTTCCCGACTCTAGGGGGCAGTGCTCATCTCCGTTTCAAAGCCAAAGAGCCACTGTCCGAAGACGTCTCCATGGTCATATGGCCAGCATAGCTAAACACCGAAGGCGCACGGAGCACTGTTCCCTTCCCACCAAAGGTGGTCCCTATTTTTCTACTTGCATTTTTTACTTGCTTTCGAACTGTTAGGTTGGCAGAAGCTGGGACAAGTAACAGGAGCTCACCCTGTTATGCGGCACTAGGGATTCGAACTGCTGAACTGCTGACTTTTCGATTGACAAGCTCAGCGTCTTAGTCACTAAGGCATTATAAAGTGGTACTAACACTTCACGTGATCTTGATTCTCTCCCTCTGTTAATGCAGCCTAGAACTATGTTGCCTTTTTTGGCAGCTGCTACACACTGCTGGCTCATATTTAAATGGCCGTCCACTAGGACTCCAAGATCCCTCTCACAGTTACTACTATTGAGCCAGGTACAACCTATCCTATACCTGTGCATTTGGGTTTTAGAATGTAGAATCTTACTTTTTTCACCAATGAATTTCATGTTGTTACATAGTGCCCAGTGCTAGAAATCTTCTCTCACTGGAATGAAGTATTTTGTACATCCCAGACTGCACATCCCTAAGCTAACTTCAAAACATTTGGAGCACATCAGGGAGCCAGTTCATGCCCTAGACAGGCAGCTGGATGGGCCCATTTGCTGAGATTAAAACCACAAAGCATTTTTTTTTAATTTGATTTATATGCCGCCCTTCTCCGGAGACTCAGGGCGGCTTACAATGCGTTAAGCAATAGCCTTCATACTTTTGTATATTTTATACAAACTCAGCTTATTGCCCCCACAATCTGGGTCCTCATTTTACCTACCTTAGAAAGGATGGAAGGCTGAGTCAACCTTGAACCTGGTGAGATTTGAACTTGCAATAATTGCAGGCAGCTGATGTTAATAACAGTGCTTTAGTCTGCTGCGCTACCAGGTCTCTTTAAAAAGTAATTTCAAGTTGCAATGAGAATGGGATGATTTAATAAATTTCAGGATGATTTTTAAGTGATGTATTTCCTAAGCAATCTTGCATCCCAAAAAACCCACTATTGCCAAATTTGAATCTCTGTCTCACTTAAAGATGCTTTTCTCTCATCCTGGATCCTCATCCTCCAAAATTCTGGGTTAACCATCGCCCTTCTTTTTCCAGTTTAAAAAAAAATGGCATTGTTTTATAGCCTGTTTGGTATGTAATAAAATAAACTGTACCAGTGTAAATGAAAACCAGGTCATCAGAGTTAAATGATGGGCAGTTTGAGAATGGAAAAATCTTTCCACCCTCAAATAGGATATATTAATATTCACTGTGCCCAATCATAACAAAATAATAGAATTACGGAATGACAGAATAACAGAGATGGAAGGGGCCTTGGAGGTCTTCTACTCCAACCCCCTGCTCAACCAGACCTTACTGGAGGCCAAAACATATGAAGTGTACCGTATCAGACAAATCATCATTCATGAGCTACTAGTTTGCATTCAGAGAAACCTAGCAAGGTTGAGAGGGACCCTGAAGGTTTTTAGGGCAAAACCACTAAGCAACCCCTATAATTTTCCTATTCCTATTCGACCTAGGACCACAACTGAGCCCAAAATTTCCACTGCTAAGCAAGACAATTGTTAAGTGAGTTTCGGCCCATTTTACGACCTTTCTTGCCACAGTTGTTAAGGGAATCCTTGCAGTTATTAAGTAAGTAACATGGTTGTTAAGTGAATCCAGCTTCCCCATTGACATGGCTTATCAGAAGGTCGCAAAAGGGGACCACATCATCCCGGGACTCTGCAATTGTCATAATTATGAACCAGTTGCTAATCATCCAAATTTTGATCCTGTGACCATGGGGATGCTGCAACGTGTGTGAAAATGGTCATAAGTCACTTTTTCCAGTGCTGTCGTAAGTTGAGTACTACCTACAGCACCCCCATAATAATACTTTGGCCCAAAACATATGAGGGGGTGGGGCGGCGGGGGACAGATCTTGGTTGTACTTCTGTATGGGGGGTGGGGATGAGCTTTCTTCAAGAGTGCTTCTTAGGGAAAGGATGTGAGATAAAAGTGGGGAGACAGGAATAGAAATAAAGGGATCTTTTATTGATACTCACCCCGGTATGTCTCCTCTGTTCATTACATGGCCGGGCCCGGTCTGGCTAGAAACATTCCGCTCTCCGCCTAACAAGCCAAAATAGAGTTTACTGTGGCATGCACATCCACCTATCATTATTGAAGAACATTATTTGTAAAACCATCATGGTTTAAAGTTGTGACATGTGGAGGGCCTTTCTACGCACACCAAATACGATGGGGCTCCACCAGTTGTGTCTGACCCAAAGACCTGGCTTGGCCTCTTGAGAACAAAATGGGATCCTTCCGGCACTCTGAGCTTGGTGTTTTCTTGGGAGACATTTCATGACCCAGCTAGGTTATATCATCAGTGCTAGAAGAAAGTGGGGTTTGTGGAGAGGAGGAGGAAGAGGAGGAGGAGGAGGAGGAGGAGGAGGAGGAGGAGGAGGAGGAGGAGGAGGAGGAGGAGGAGGAGAGGACTGTGTGGTCCTTGGTGCTCTCTGAGCTTGGTCGTTTTCTTGCAGACATTACCCAACTAGGTAGCACATCAGTTTATATACAGGTGACTTGCCCTGTCAGCACTGGTGGGAGTATTCTTGGTGGCTGTTATATACCAAACCCCAACTCCCTTCTAACACTGATGATGTTACCTAGTCTGGTAATGAAATGTCTGCAAGAAAACTACTAAGCTCAGAGGTCACCAAGGACCCCACATTCAACCCTGAGCTACAAATATTCTCTTCTATCGGTACAGGAGCTGCCTTATCAAGAATAGGCCAAATCCTTTCATCACAGGCAGGGGGGGCCGCCAAATCAAACGTTGTCCAACTCCATCTAGGAAGAAAGCCGGGCTTTTACCTTGCCATCGATCATGATCCATCTCTCCGTCTGCACTCCCTGTCCAGGAGCGATCTTGATGCCCCTCCAGCTTTCGGCCATGATCTCCCCAGTGTCTCCCTTCCCTGGAAGAGGGTGGGGAGGAAATAGCAGGTTTTTTTTATCTCTTGCCAGTTTTCAAAAATGTTTTAATTGTTTTAATTATAGTGTATTTTTTTTAACTTGCAAGTTGCCCCCGAGTCATTAACTGAGATGGGCAGATTAGATAGATAGATGGATGGACGGACAGAGATAGTGAGAAATAGATAGATGTGTGAGGGAGAGAGAGAGAGAGTTTGTTTCCCAATCAATATAACCAACAACACAGAATGTGGGTCTGGGCAATTTAACTTCACACAGTGCACTAAGCTACAATTTCGTATCATAGGTTTGGGTTTAACATGTGGGGCAAACATCCATTTAAATTATTATCATTACTGTCATCGTTTTATATTATGGATTGACATACATACATTTCTTGGCTCTTGGCAAGAAAAAATATCTAGGAAATGCTGATACAGTCTTGCTTTAAAAAAAAAAAAAACAAATATTGCCCCCCAGTGGAACTTTTCCATAGGTAGGTGCCCTTTTAGAGGTGTTGGGATTTAAGGAGGTCCTCCATTTACAACGCTTCTTACCAACCGTTTTACTAATTTTAAACCAGGGCACTGATCGACTTACTGTACTTTTCGGAGTATAAGACGCACTTCCCCCCCCCCCAAAAGAGGGTGGAAATGTTGGTGCGTCTTATACACCAAATACAACCATTTTTGGCCTCTCAAAACCCCTCCGCGTGTGTCCTGTTTTTGCCAACAACAGGCCCATTTGTGGACTCCCAAACCCCCCATGCGTAGCATTTTTGCCCTCCCCAGCCCCCAGGAGCACTCTGCAGGCCTCCCAAACCCTCTGCGTGTCCCGTTTTTCCTAAAAACAGGCCCATTTTTTGCAAAAATGGGACACGCAGAGGGTTTGCGAGGCCTGCAGAGTGCTCCTGGGAGCTGGGGAGGTCAAAAACCGGACGCGCGGAGGCCAAAAATTATTTTTTATAGTCCAAAAAATACACCTATGGCAAGAAAGGTCATAAAACACTGACTTAATAACTGTCTTGCTTGGAAATGGAAATTTGGGTCTCCTTTGTGGCCATAAGTTGAGGACTCTCCTGTAATGGCTAGGGAGGGTGTGGATCCTTCAGCACCAACCACACTGAAGGGAATGTGTACATTCTCCCTGCCCTGATTCCTCGTATTTGAATTCTCAACGAATTGATCTTTTGGCTCGCCACGCCAGCTCTGGAATAGTCAAGTCAATGTTTATCTCCTCAGTGGTTCAGTCTCCATCCCCAGCACACCCTATCCAGAGAGCCAAAGCCTAGGTCGGCATAAACAGGTAGTCCTCGACGTACGATGGTTCGTTTAGTGACAGTTTGAAGTTAACAACGGCACCAAAAAGATTGATTCATCTCTGTTTTTTTACACTTATGACGGATGCAGCATCCCCCTGGGCGCATGATCAAAATTCTGACGCTCGGCAACTGGCATGTATTTATGACGGTTGAACTATCCCAAGGTCATAGGATCCCCATTTATAACCTTTCCAGCCAAGCTTCCGACAGGCAAAGTCGAGAGGGGGTGGGGGAAGTCGTAAGTTGAGGATTACCTGTATGTGTGTACCTCCCTCTTCTTTCTCCAAAAAACATGGATGAAAGGCGCCTCTTCCTCTTTAAATCAACTCACCGGGATTGGGGAGGTAAACCTCGGCCTCTGCTCAGCCTCCGCTCTGACCCGTAACCCGCCCAGCCGTCCCGGGAATGGCGATCGGGGCCACCGTGCCTCTCGTCAGGATAGTGCTGAAAGAGATAAGCCACAAAATCAGGTTACAAAGCTTCTCGATGCTAAATGTTCACATGTTAAAATGACAGCTCTGTTAAGGGGTTAAGGGGACAGCTCTGAGCCCTGGTGGCCCAATGGTTAAAGTGAAGCATTGCAGGCTGACTCTGCCCACAGCCCAGAGTTCGATCCTGATGGGGCTCGAGGTTGACTCAGCCTTCCATCTTCCCAAAGTTGGTAAAATGGAGATCCAGATTTGGGGGGGGGCAGGGCAATAGGCTGACCCTGTAAACCGCGTAGAGGTCTGTAAAGAACTGTGAAGCGGTATCTAAGTCTAAGTGCTATTGCTAATGTATTATGATTATGAGCCGTGGTGGCGCAGTGGTCAGAATGTAGTATTGCAGGCTAACTTCTGCTGACTGCCGGCTGCCTAAAATTTGGCAGTTCGAATCTCATCAGGCTCAAGGTTGACTCAGCCTTCCATCCTTCCGAGGTCAGTAAAATGAGGACCCAGATTGTTGGGGGGGACAATAGGCTGACTCTGTAAACCGCTTAGAGAGGGCTGTAAAAGCACTGTGAAGCGGTATATGAAGTCTAGGTCCGTGATGGCAAACCTATGTCACGGGTGCCACAGGTGGCACATGGAGCCATATCTGTGGGCACACAAGTGTTGCCCTACCTCAGTCCAGCACGCATGTGCGCGCTGGCCAGCTGATTTTCAGGCCTTCTGAGCCCATCATAAGTCGGGAAATGGGCTGTTTCCGGGCCTCCCAGAGTCTCCGGGGAGGTGGGGAAGGTCGTTTTCGCCCTCCCCAGGCTCCTAGAAAGCCTCTGGAGCCTGGGGAGGGCAAAAAATGGGCCTACCGGGCCCACTGTGCCATCACGTGCCAAAAGTAGGGGAGAGTGGGGGGGGGGTCACGTGTGCATGCGTGGGAGGACGGGGCGCATTGAATTATGGTTGTGGGCACACGTGTGCGCAATCCCCCCCACTCCGCCTGCTTTTGGGACGCGACGGCAAAAAGGTTAGCCATCACTGGTCTAGGTGCTATTGCTAATGTATTATGATTAATATTATTAGTTTCTTCCACCCACTGGGACCAATTTGGCCTTTACTTTCCACATCATCCCCATTTCCTCCTTCAGGCCCTGATACTTCTCCAGTTTCTCCTGTTCCTTCTTCTTGAGGTTGCTCTCACTTGGCACTGCTGCATCTGGCGCTAGTGATGGTGATGTAGTGGATATCGATATGTCTGCCTGCCTGCCTGTCTGCCTATATTTCTCTCTCTCTCTTTTATCTAATCTCTCTTATCTCTCTCTTTCTGTCTATCCATCCATCTCTCTCTCATTTCTCTTTTCCATCATCTCTCTTCTCTATTTCTCTATCCCTGTATCTATCCATCTCTCTCTCTTCATCTCTTTTATCTATTTTCTATTTCTATCTCTCTTCTCTTCTCTATGTCTATCTATCATCTATTGATCTAACTCCATCTTTCTATCTGTACATCTATTATCTATCTATCTATCTATCTATCTATCTATCTATCTATCTATCTATCTATCTATCTACCGTATCTATTTATCTATTTCTATCTCTCTCTTCTCTTCTCTATGTCTATCTATCATCTATTTATCTAACTCCATCTTTCTATCTGTACATCTATCATGTATCTATCTATCTATCTATCTATCTATCTATCTATCTATCTATCTATCTATCTATTTGTCTATCACCTATCATCTACCGTATCTATCTATCTATCTATCTATCTATCTATCTATCTATCTATCTATTTCTATCTCTCTCTCTTCTCTTCTCTATGTCTATCATCTATTTATCTAACTCCATCTTTCTATCTGTACATTTATCATCTATCTATCTATCTATCTATCTATCTATCTATCTATCTATCTATCATCTATCTATCTATCTATCTATCTATCTATCTATCTATCTATCTACCTACCTACCTACCTACCTACCTACCTACCTACCTACCTACCTACCTATCTATCTTCTCCTTAATTTACAATCATTAGTTTAGTGGAAGAGCCGGGGTAGCGCAGTGGTGAGAATGGAGCATTGCAGGTAACTCTGCCCACTGCCAGAAGTTCAATCCTGACCGGCTCAAGGTTGACTCAGCGTTCCATCCTTCCGAGGTCAGTAAAGTGGGGATCCAGATTGTTGTGGGCAATATGCAAATAATGCTTCTACATTGTAAACCACCCAGAGAGCGCTGTAACGCAACATGGGGTGGTATATATAAACCTAAATGCTATTGCTAAATGTCTAGCTATGTCTTTGAGGCGCTCATCAGTGGGCCATGAAGCTGAACGCAGAAGCCAGCTCCTCTATCAAAAACATTATTAAAAAAAAAAACCTCTATGGTTGCTCAGTTTGAAATAAATTGTGATCCTGTCACCCTTACATCTGTAGCAAATCCACTTTGAGTTTAACCGCCGCAGAAAGCGAGTGTCTGTATTAAACAAAACCTGACTTTGGATGAGGAAGCATCTAATTTCATGGTCCAATTTTTAATGGCTAATTTGCATTCCTATGTGGGCGATGGGAGAGTATGTGAAAAAGACCATGCAGGAGAGCAGCCCATATGAACTCAGAGGTGGGCGTCTAAAAACGAAACAGAGGTAGTCCTCGACTTACAACCACAATAGAGTCCAACATACATTCATTCATTCATTCATTTATTTATTTAGTTTATCAAATTTATATGCCGCCCTTCTCCCGTAGGACTCGGTGCGGCTCACAGAATAAAAACAGCAGAACAATAAAATAATGATAAAACAGGCCAATTTAAAATCCCCAAACAATTAAAAACCTCGTGGCAGATCAGGGAATTTGCTGAAAAAGCCATGTCTTCAGGTCGGCGCGGAAAGTGTGGAGGTCGGGGGCCGTCGGGAGCCTGGTGGGTAACCCATTCCAGAGGGTCGGTGCGGCCACAGAGAACGCCCTCATCCTGGGGACCGCCAGCTGACATTGTCTGGCCGACGGCACCTGGAGGGCAGTCCTGTGTGAACGCACTGGGCAGTGGGAGGCCGGTAGGAGGTGATCCTGCAATTTCCATTGCTAAGTGAGACACTTAAGTGAATTTTGCCCCATTTTACAACAAAGTGGCGCAGTGGTTAGAGTGCAGGCTACTTCTATTGATCACTGGCTGCCAGCAGTTTGGCAGATCAAATCTCACCAGGCTCAAGGTTGACTCAGCCTCCCATTCTTCCGAGTTTGGGAAAATGAGGATCCAGATTGTTGGAAGGGCAAGAGGCTGACTCTGTAAAGCGCTTAGAGGGCTATAAAGCACTGTGAAGCGGTATATAAGTCTAAGTGCTATTGCTATTTCTTGCCACGATTGTTAAGTGAATTGCTGGAGTCATTAAGTCAGTCACACGGTTGTTAAGCGAATCTGGCTTCCCTGTTGATTTTGCTGGTCAGAAGGTGGCAAAAGGGGATCACATGACCTCGGGACACTGCAACTGTCATAACTATGAGTCAGTTGCCAAGGGCCTGAATTTTGACCATGGGATCATGGAGCTGCTGCAATGGTTGTTAAGTGTGAAGAATGGTCGTAAATTGCTTTTTTCAGTGCCGTCATAACATTGAACGGTCACTAATTGAACCGTTGTAAGTCGAGGACTGCCTGTAAAATTGGCTTGTTCAAAAGACAATCTTGGGAATGATGGGTGTGGCCTTGACTCTCCCTTCCTTTGATGGACGATGGACAGAGTTTGAGCGAGCTCCTATCGTCCACGTTTGACTTCAGATCTGCCCTTTAGAAATTGTGAATCCTAAACTCTTAAAAACTGGGCAGTTTTCCAGCAAGAGGCAAAGATTAAATTTAACAATTCACACCATCGATCAAGCCAAGCGTACCTGTCCATCTCGGTCTGGCGCCATTCTTGAACTTTCTCTCCTAGAAGGAGAAAAGGAAATTATCCGCCACACGTATATATATATGTGCAGATGCCTTTATTCTCTACCTTGTCGATGAATGATGGTTAACACCAATAGTGGGTTTCGATTTAGTTTGCTACCGGTTTGCTCGTGTGCGCAGAAGCGTCCGGACGGGGCCTCCCACAGCTGCCACCGGTTCACCCGATCCGGGGAGAACCCGTAGCAACCCACCACTGGTTAACACCAATTGGAACCAATCCTAGTGATTTTCACCTCCCCAATACATGCGCCAGGAGGACCGTGATGAGATGAGGGTTTAATAAATGTATGGCCACCTTGATGCTCTTGGATGTGTCAGTCATTTTTAATTCTCCGCAGGACTTTGGAAACCATGGGTCAAACGGTTGCAGGATTAGCTAGCAAACTTGTCCCTGGTTCGGTTTGTGTTTTGAGAGCTTTGAGTTACCTACCTGTCCCCGAAGTGATCATGGTATCGGCCACGATGTCTATGGTTGAAGCTGTGGAAGCGATCTTGCCGGCTGAAGTCCGAATGGTATCGGTCATCCATGGCCATCCGCTTTGGTTCCTGCCAGTAGCCATCGTCACGCCTGCAAAGAGTCCAGATTCAACAAGTTATCAGCGCTCCGGTTCCGGACAGACCTGGGTTACCATTTCAGCAATTTATTTATATATGGATTTATTTATTTATTTTATTTATATTTATTTTATTTATTTATAATTTAATTTCTATACCGCCCTCCTCCCGAAAGACTCAGGGCGGTGTACAGCCAATTAAAACGTAATATATATACATCGATTTAAAAACCAATTAAAAGTAATAAATAATTTTGGCTCAGAATTAAAACCTAATTAAAACACCCAATTTAAAATCATTCACAAAGATAGCCCAGCCTGGCGGAACAATAGGGTTTTAAGAGCGCAGCGAAATACATGGAGATCAGAAATCTTACGTATTTCCGGGGGCAGTTCGTTCCAAAGGGCAGGGGCTCCCACAGAGAAGGCCCTCCCCCTGGGTGTCGCCAGCCGACATAACTTGGCCGATGGCACTCTGAGGAGCCCCTCTCTGTGGGAGCGAACTGGCCGGTGGGAGGCTACTGGCGGCAGAAGTCGGTCTCGGAGGTACCCAGGCCCTAAACCATGGAGCGCTTTAAAGGTGGTAACCAACACCTTGAATCGCACCCGGAAGACCACTGGGAGCCAGTGTAGCTCATGCAGGAGAGGTGTTACATGGGCGTAATGGGTTGCGCCCATAACTACCCGCGCAGCCGCATTCTGGACCAGCTGGAGCCTCCGAGTGCTCTTCAAGGGGAGCCCCATGTAGAGAGCATTACAATAGTCCAGCCGGGAGCTGACAAGGGCATGAGTGACCGTGTGCAAGGCATCCCAATCCAGAAAGGGTCACAACTGGCAGATCAGGTGAACCTGATAAAAAGCCCCCCTGGCCACAGCCGTCACATGCTCTTCTAAAGACAGACGTGCATCCAGGAGGACGCCCAGATTGTGAGCCCTCACTGTGGAGGGCAGAGATTCACCCCCAATAGTCAGCGATGGCACCAGCTGACTATATCGGGGCGCTGGAAGCCACAGCCACTTGGTCTTGGCTGGATTGAGCCTGAGCCTATTTCTCCCCATCCAGACCTGCACGGCCTCCAGGCAGCGGGACATCACATCAAGGGCATCGTTGGGGTGGTCTGGGGTGGAGATGTACAGCTGAGTGTCATCAGCGTACTGATGGACTCTCACCCCAAAACCACGGATGATCTCACCCAGCGGCTTCACATAAATGTTGAACAGAAGGAGCGAGAGGACTGACCCTTGTGGCACCCCCTAATCGAGGTGTCTCGAGATCAACCTCTGCCCCCCTATCAACACAAGCTGCGAGCGGTCGGAGAGGAAGGAGGAGAACCACCGTAGCATGGTGCCTCCTATTCCCAACCCCTCAACCGCTGCAGCATGATACCATGGTCAATGGTATCAAAAGCCGCTGAGAGATCTAACAGGACCAGGACAGAGGAGCAACCCCTGTCCCGAGCCCTCCAGAGATCATCCACCAACGCGACCAATGCCGTTTCCGTGCTGTACCCCTGCCTGAAGCCCGACTGGTACGGGTCCAAATAAGTAACTTCATCCAGGTACCGGGGAAGTTGTCATGCCACCACACTCTCAACAACCTTCGCCACAAAGCGAAGGTTGGAGACCAGATGATGATTAGCTAAAATAGCCGGGTCCAGGGATGGCTTCTTGAGGAGGGGCCTCACCACCGCCTCTTTCAAGGCGGCGGGAAAGGCACCCTCACTCAAAGAAGCATTTATAATCCCCTGGAGCCAGCCTCGTGTAACCTCCCGGGAGGCCAGTACCAACCAGGAGGGACACTGGTCCAATAAACATGTGGCAGCACTAATCCTGCCCAGAATCCTGTCCACATCCTCGGGAGTCACAGGATCAAACCCTTCCCAGATAACATTCTCAAGACCTGCCCCGGTCTCCTTCCCTGGACTCACCCAGTCGGAGTCCAGGCCTTCCCGAATCTGAGCGACTTTATCATGCAGGAATTGTACAAAATCCTCAGCTCGACCCTGCTTTATTTATTGTACATTTATTAGATGTTTAGCCTTTATTAGCCCTTTTGAATAACTCGAGACAGCAAATGTACGTAATACTCTTTCCTTTTTCTCTCTGTGAGGTGGGTTGGGCTGAGAGAGAGGGACTGGCTCAAAGTCATCCAATCAGCTTTCATACAGAATAAGAGAGTTGGAAGGGACCTTGGAGGTCTTCTAGTCCAACCCTCTGCTCAAGCCATTCCAGACAAACAGCTCCTGTCTCTTCTTAAAAGCCTCCAGTGATAGACATCCCAAAGGTGCCTTTTCAAGAGGCAACTGGACTTCCTTGTTTTTTTATTTGAAGACGTTTCGCTTCTCATCCAAGAAGCTTCTTCAGCTTCTTGAACGTCTTCAAAGAAAAAACAAGAAAGTTCAGTTGCCTCTGGAAAAAAAAGAATCTTTGGGACAACCATCACCTGGATGCCTGAGAATCTCGACAGACTTTTAGCTATACGATTTGGGAAGAGAAGAACACCCTTGGAATGGTGTGGGAGTTAAGAATGGATTTCCAGAGGAAAAATTGCAGACTACAGAAACCAGGAGCACCGCTCAGGTGACCCTGAGGACACAGATCAACCTCTAAGTGCTTCAAGAACCCTCCAAAAGGATGCAAATGACCAGCTGCCTGCAAGGAATATAAATCCTCCCATTCCTCACCATCCAGTCAGAGCTGAAGAAGCTTCTTGGATGAGAAGCGAAATGTTTTCAAAATAAAAAACAGGAAGGTCCAGTTGCCTCTTGAAAAAAGCACCTTTGGTTTGTTTCTATTGGGCATAACTACGGACTGCACAGTATCAGAGAATAAATTGACTTTGAACTTAATATCAGCAGCTAGGCTGCTGGTAGCTCAATATTGGAAGAAGGACTCTTTGCCTACTATTGAAGAGTGGATATTGAAAGTAACAAACCTAGCAGAAATGGCGAAAATCTCAGCGTATTTGAAGGACCGCACGCAAGAAAGATACGTATCGGAATGGAGAAGATGGATTGATTATATTCAAAATAAGTATCAGACAAGAAAATATCAAATAGCTTATGAATGAATGTTAGTATTAGAAGTATTAGGTTATCTATAGTGGAGTTAAGGTTTCAGGGGGGGAGTTAGTACTTTGAGGATAAGTAGATTAATCTAGTTTATGATTGATTAAATGAAATACCTTGTATTTTGCTCTGGGAAGTCTGGGGGGAGGGGGGGATGAGGGGGGGAAGGGTGGGGGGAACATGGGGGGAAGTTTTTTGTAAAACTTTTCAATTAAAAAAAAAGAAAAAAGCACCTTTGGAACAACTATAACCTGGATGACTGAGAATCTCTATAGACTCCAGCGATGGAGCACCCACAAATTCTGGGGGGGCAAGTTCTTTCACTGATTGTTCTCACTGTCAGGAAATTTCTCCTTATTTCTAGGTTGCTTCTCTCGATTAGTTTCCACCCATTGCTTCTTATTCTGACTTCAGGTGCTTTGGAGAATAGGTGCCCCCCTCTTCTTTGTGGCAGCCCCATAAATATTGGAAGACTGCCATCATGTCACCCTTACTCCTTCTTTTGACTAGACTAGACAATTCCTGCAACCGTTCTTCATATGTTTTAGCCTACAGTCCCCTAATCATCTTGGTTGCTCTTCTCTGTACTTTCCAGAGTCTCAACATCTTGTTTACATCATGGCGATCAAAACTGGATGTAATATTCTAAGTGTGGCCTTACCAAGGCCTTATAAAGTGGTATTAACACTTCACAGGTTCTTGATTCTATCCCTCTGTTAATGCAACCTAGGACTGTGTTGGCTTTTTTGGTTAATAATGTTAGGGCCAACAGATGCAGCATTTTTTTTTTTAATTTGATTTATATGCTGCCCTTCTCCAGAGACTCAGGGCGGCTTACAATGCGTTAAGCAATAGCCTTCATACTTTTGTATATTTATACAAAGTCAGCTTATTGCCCCCACAATCTGGGTCCTCATTTCACCTACCTTAGAAAGGATGGAAGGCTGAGTCAACCTTGAGCCTTGGCGAGATTCGAACCTGCAGTAATTGCAGGCAGCTGGTCTTAATAACCAGCTTAATAACAGGGTGCCTTAGACCACTGTACTATCATTTGACCAGAAAGAGCGGGGAACAAAATGTACACAAGGTAGAAAGCTTACAAAAGTACACAGGCAGTTACAGAAGCTCCGAGTCTAACTTAAATGGCAAGACCAGCCAGGCACCATGTTGGCCCTCCCGCCTTACAAGCGGACTCTCTCTCTCTCTCACCGTTCGTCGTTGTAAGGTCTCCGCAAGGACGATCGGCGGTCCTGCTCATAGCGCAGCTGCTCATGCTGCCGCCGTAACTCCTCCCGCTCCCAGTGGATGCGCTCCTGCTCCCTCCGCCGCTCGTGCTCGATGCGCATCCGCTCCCGCTCCAGCCGTTCCCGCTCCATCCGCTCCCGCTCCAGCCGTTGCCTCTGGAAGTGCAGCCGGTCCCGCTCCCTTTGCAGCCGCTGCCTTTCGTCCCACTCGGTGGTCTCCTGTGAGTGCTGGTCCCGCTCCTTCCGCTCCCGTTCCCTGCGTTCACAAATGGGAGAGGCGGTTTGCATGGGGAAGACGGCAAGGCTGAGGGTTAGCGTTCCCCAAATTGTTGGCTTTCAGATATCGGCGGGGAGCGATAGGAACTGATCCCTCCTCTCTGGAAGATACCATCGCCTCTGCAGTGGGCTTGTAGCAGAGTACAGGTAGTCCTCGACTTACAACAGTTTGCTTAGTACTGTTAAAGTTACAACGGCCCTGGAAAAAAGTGACTTATGACCATTTTTCACACTTATCACTGTTGCAGCAGCCCTGTGGTCACATGATCAAAATGCGGATGCTTGGCAACTGACTCACATTTATGACGGTTGCAGTGTCCTAAGGTCATGGGATCCCCTTTTGTGACCTTCTGACCAGTAAAGTCAACGGGGGAGCCAGATTCACTTAACAGCCGTGTTACTGACTTAACAACTGGAGTGATTCACTTAACAACTGCGGCAAAGAGGGTCGTAAAATGAGGTAAAAACTCATTTATCAAATGTCTTGCTGAGCAACATAAATTTTGGGCTCAGTTTTGGTCGTAAGTCAAGGACTACCTGTATTCACACTTTCTCAGATTTAAAGTCTACATTTGACCTTGAGTGACATGCAAAGGACCATACCCCAAGAACAGAACAGGACTAGTCCCTGACTTACAACTACTCAGAGTTAAAGCTGAAAAAAAAGTGACTTATGATCATCCTCACACTTACAACCGTCACAGCGTCCCCATGTTCACATGATCAAAATTCGGGCGCTTGGCAACCGGCATGTATCTACAACGGTTGCAGCATCCTGAGGTCATGTAATTGCCATTGGCAACCTTCCCAGGGGGCTTCCAACAAGTAAAAACCATGGGGGGAAGCTGGATTTGCTCAATGGCCGTGTGATTTGCTTAACTACAATGATTCACTTAACGACTGTAGCAAAAAAGATTCATAAAATCAGGTGTGGTTCACTTAACAACCACATCAGTTAGCAACCAAAATTCCACTCCCAATTGTGGTTGTAAATCGAGGATTAATTATAGAGCCGAGACAAAATGATCTGAAACAGTTCAATTAATTCAACACATTTTGGGTGCTGAAGAAACAACGAACATGGGACGAGAATAGGATCTGCTAAGATCTGGATTGATTTGATTTGTTTCAGAGTCGATCTGAACAAAATTCGTGCATTAAGGTAGCTCCAAAGAAGAACCAAGCACGCTCAAGCACAGAGCTTGGAAAATACCAAATTTAATGAACCAGAAACTCTTGCTCTAAAGAACAGGTCTCCAAACTTGGCTGCTTTAAGACTTGAGGACTTCAACTCCCAGAATTCCCCAGTCAGCACGGCTGGCTGAGGAATTCTGGGAGTTGAAGCCCACAAGTCTTAAGTTCTGCTCCAAAGTGATAGGAGCTAAATCCAAGCTTATTTTCAAGAATCTAAACTCTAGCCATGGCTAGAATGCGAGATGTTGACAAACCATTCTGGAGGACAACGACTGAGGCCTTCTATGTCGTGAGAGGTTGCTCTGAATCTAAAACCAGGCAAGGCCTTGGGAGTAAAGATAAGTAAAGATAAAGAAACATTGCTTTTTTTCCCCCCCAATTAAAAGTATGAAATTGATTTGTTTATGGCTCCTGCATCTGATCGTGGAGAAATTCCAAGTCTTACTAAAAAAGCAATTAGCTAGATATAATGTTAAGAAGCATTTATGTTGCGGCCGTTTAGATTTAATTTTGTTTAATGGCATGGCTGGTATTGCTTTTTCACATTGCTCCATTGTAATCTAGGACTATATTACGAAGGAATTTTTTTTTTCCTTTTAACAGAAAAGGAGGAGAAAAGACATGTGAATCTAAATTGTCGCCGGCTTCAGCAACTTTTAAAGCGTTAATTTTAATTAGCTTTGCTTGTAGAAGAAATTATATTGATTGACAATAGCTTTACATTTACTGGTTTATCCTGCTGGATTATAAAATTTAATTTTTATTTTGTATTCTTAGGGCAAATGCTTCAGTCATACCATTGCAATCATCCTAGGAAAAGCAGATCTGTTTTTAAGCTTTTAACACTTTTCTTGCCACAATCTCAACTCAGGGGTCACTCTCTGTGCACTCAATGAAACATACCAGAGGATAGAGGACATTTTAAGACTTAAATGTTAACACAGATAGTCTGCGGCTTACAACGGTTTGTTTAGTGACTGTTTGAAGTTACAAAGGCATTGAAAAGTGACTTATGATTATTCAATCACACTTATATGACCGTTGCAGCATCCCTATGGTCAAGTGATCGAAATTCAGACACTTGGCAACTGGCTCATATTTATGAAGATTGCAGCATCCCGGGGTCAAAGCAGGGAATTGTGAGTTCAAGTCCTGCTTTAGCCATGACAGCTATTGGGTGACTTTGAGCCAATCAACAGAAGACGGCGAGTTCTAGTCCTGCCTTAGGCATGAAAGCTGGTTAGGTGACTTTGGGCCAATTACCAGCAGACGGTGAGTTTTAGTCCCGCCTTAGGCATGAAAGCCAGCTAGGATAGCCAATCACCAGGAGATGGGGAGTTCTAGTCCCACCTTAGGCATAAAAGCTGGCTGGGTGAATTTGGGCCAATTACGAACAGACAGTGAGTTCTACTCCCGCCTTAGGCATGAAAGCCAGCTAGGATGGCCAATCACCAGGAGACGGTGAATTCTAATTCTGCCTTAGGCATGAAAGCCGGCTGGGCAGCTTTGGGCCAATCAGCAGGAGACTGTGAGTTCTAATCCCGCCTTAGATCTGAAAGCTGGCTGGGTAACTTTGGGTCAGTCGCTCTCAGTCCAACCCACCTCACAGGGTTGTTGTTGTGGGGAAAATAGGAGAAGGAAGGTGTGTAGGATAGGTTAAGCACCTTGAGATATTTGTAAATATAATAAAGGTGTGATATAAATAAAATGAAAAAAAAAATTAAAAATCCAGCACGCTGAACCCACCTGCTTTGATTAGGAGAAACGAAAGAAGAGAATGTGGAAGTGAAGTGAGTATGTCAAATGAATGGGGAGTTGCAAATTCGGAAGGGAATATGCAGGTCATGGAGAGAGAGCGGGAAAGAGTGGGAAAGGCTTCTTCCAATATTAATAATTACGTGTCACATGCAGGGGAAAAAAAAGACCCCTGACAACATTTAATCAAGAGAAAGCGCTCCATCAGCCTGCTGACGTACGACCCATTCAGTGGGAAAACACACCGTGCGCCTACATAATAAAGAGCCCTTTAAAATATCTGCTTGGAACAAGGAGAGAAACATGGAAGATTTCACTCAGCAACTGAATTACGCCCAAACAGAGAGCTGAGCCGGGGAGGAAAGTGACAGCTGCATAATAGATCATGTCAACAGACCGCAGATTCATGCCAGGATAATCCACTCTGGCTGTGGCAGGGAGGCAGGAGGGTTTCAAAGAAGTGGGGGCAAAGAGCTCAGCGTGGGACGGGAGCCTGCTGAGCTACGACAAGGACGCAGGATGAAAAACAAAAAGGGTTTTGAAAAACCGATCCAGCGCTATAGCAATATCACTTCGATTTATATACTGCTTCACAGTGCTTTTACAGCCCTCTCTAAGCGGTTTACAGAGTCAGCCTATTGCCCCCAACAATCTGGGTCTCCATTTTACCCACCTCAGAAGGACGGAAGGCTGAGTCAACCTTGAGCCTGGTGAGATTTGAACTGCTGAACTGCAGCTAGCAGTCAGCTGAAGTAGCCTGCAGTACTGCACTCTAACCACTGTGCCACCTCGGCTTGTTACCTGCTATACAGGTTAACAGAAGGCAAGTCTCTCCTCCATTTTTGAAGTGAGCCAGGAATGGTGACCTCAGCAATGTCCTTTTTTTTCCAAGGACTCTTGAGAGGAGATCAAAGTGATCAAAAGAAAGGATCACCGGCAGACAGCCCAACTGACAGCTCACCAGGCGAATGGCTGGTTTCAAACAGGTTGTTTGTTCGCAGGGGTGTCTAAACTTGGCCACTTTTAAGAGTTGTGGACTTCAACTCCCAGGATTCCCCAGCCAGCACAGAAGTAGAAGTGGGAGTAGAAGTCCGCAAGTACACTGCAACCGTCATAAATGTGAGCCACTTGCCAAGTGTCTGGATTTTGATCACATGACCTTGGGTGTCAGATTCGTGTATGTGCCATTCTTCAGGGGAAAGGGGGATTTTTAATCACTTTCTTTACTTACTGCTTTCTTTCCTATGTATCCTGCATCCTGCAATTTACTGATTTATAATCTTTAGCCTGGCGCCTAAGTGCCCTGGCATTTTTGCACCTTTTGGGGAATGTAAAGGGACGGAGGGCCATGTGGGATTCATCGGATAACCCTGTTAGGAAATGATAATTACCTAACTTTTTGGGTTGGCAATATATAAACCCTCAATATAGCTTCAAGACTGTATTGCTGTATTGCATCATACTGTGTCCTGATTGGTTAGCTCTGAAGCCAATGTCCTTAAGAGGGAGCTTGAAACATGGTTTGTTTCTCTTTGCTGATCATTACTGCTCTTTGCTATGTTTGCTACTGTTTATTGTGTTTATTGTGTATGACTACGACGACTGGTAAGAAGACTTCGTTATTGGAACATCCCTGGACTATTGTTTTACTATCTACTACTTTATCTGTGTATGACCTGGACTGTTTATTGGACTGTGCCTTATTACTATTTCCTAAAAGTAAACACAACTCAGTGTATCTGTGTGTTGACTGTGTTTTATTCGTACTTACTCTCAATCGCTTTCAGGGGCACACCCTTGCTACTTAAGGGTTACTCTGCGAATTCCTTAACAAACCCTGCGAAAGTTCCCTTATCTTTTCTCAGAGCGGCCAGTACAATAACATCTTCGCACCTGCGGATTGGCTGAATCCACATTGGACTGTTGGGAGGGGTTTCTAATTCCTTTATTCTAACTGTACGGCCTGAGGGGACCTCAGAGCCTGCTTTCTTTTCGCCCTGCTATCACCCGCTGTTCAATAAAAGGTTCCTTTCGAAATGCCAAGTTTCAAGAGTCTTCATTTTCTTGAATAAGGGAGAGAGGCCGGGTCTTACAGTAGGGCTCCTGCAACAATCCCAAAGTGTGAAAACTGGTCATGTCACTTTTTTCAGCGCTGTTTAACTTGGAACGGTCACTAAGCAAATGGTCGCAAGTCCGATTCTACGTAATGGCAACTGTTTGGCATGCCAAGATATGAAATTAGGCTAATGTTTAAAGGTTTGTGATTTTTGGAAAGAAGAATGTTCTTTCCAAAAAAAAAAAGAAAAAAAAGAGCGGGGGTCGGAACGTGGCGAGGGAGCCAACCTCAACCCACCTCCTCCGTTCTGTCTCTCGGATCTCTCGCTCGCGTTGCCTCTGGCGTTCTCGCTCGCGCTGCTCCTTGATTTTATCAAATGACAGGATGTCTTGCTTCTCTTTGCTCTCCGACTTGCGGTCCTGGCTTTTGGTGCTCTGCAGTGAAGCAGAAAAGAAGGTGGCTAGAGTAGCCATGTAGCGCATGCGTTTTTTACTCTCGGGGCCTTCAACGCCCAAGCACTGCAGGTTCAAGAGGGATGGGAGGCAGCGAGGAGCTGGATCCCCAAGTGGGAAGGAGGGTGTCCCAGAGGAAGATCCAGATATTATGTGTGAGAGAAAGAGGGTAAAGACAGCCCCACCCTAGTAGTCCCAAAGGTGCTTTTTTAGGAGGCCACTAGACTTTCTTGTTGTTTCTTTGAAGATGTTTCACTTCTCATCCAAGAAGCTTCTTCAGCTCTGATTGGATGGTGGGGAATGGAAGGATTTATATTCCTTGCAGACAGCTGGACACTTGCATCCTTTTAGAGGGTCCTTGAAGCACTTGGAGGTTTATCTGTGTCCTCAGGGTCACCTGAGTAGTGCAAATGGTTCCTGTAATCTGCACTTTTTCCTCTGGAAATCCATTCCTAACTCCCACATCATTCCAAGGGTGTTCATCCCAAATTGTACAGCTAAAAGTCTGTGGAGATTGTCAACCATCCAGGTCACGGTTGTCCCAAAAGTGTATTTTCAGGAGGCAATTGGACTTTCTAGTTTTTTCTTTCAAAGAAGTTTCTTCAACAAGCTTCTTGGATGAGAAGCAAAATGTCTTCAAAGAAAAAAACAAGAAAGTCCAGTTGCCTCCTGAAAAAACACCTTTGGGGCAACCATGACCTAGAGGACTGAGAATCTCTACAGACCCCTCCCAAGCAGTTCTCAGAGTATATTGTAGATCAGCGGTAGACAACCTTGGCAATTTGTAAGACTTGTGGACTTCAACTCCCACAATTCCCCAGCCAGCCATGCTGGCTAGGGAATTCTGGGAGTTGGAAGTCCACAAATCTTAAGAGATTGGACACCCTTGTTTGTAGATGTAGAATAGAGGCTTCAGTCTAGCAAGAATTTGCCCAGAGGCATGAAACAATAAAAAATTCGGCTTGGAAGAATGACCACGTGCTATTCTTGGTTTGGAGCCTGACGCTCAGTGCCTTTCAGCATTTATAGAGGAGCTGCCCAAATTCTATGGGGTAAAATCCATCGGTGGTGCTCCCATAATTCATGAAGGCAGTAAACATAGGGTTCATGACTGCTCCCTGGCCCTCCGCTGGCCTCCCTGCTCAAAATGAGCAGCCCACTTTAGATGGGGTGACCTTCACATTTTGGTGGACTCCCATAATCTGGAGCCAAGAAAACCAGTCCTGGAATTATGGCCTATCCCAACTGCTCTGGCAGAAGGGGCATGATCCGGATCCCGTCTGCCAAGGAATTGCAGCTGGTGGAGTCCAGAAGGGCCTTTTCTGCTATGGCTCCCATCCTCTGGAATATCGTGCCCCCCCCATGAGATTCACCCTACCCCCTTTTAAGAGCCTTAAAACCTTTGGCAATTAGCCTGGGGCCCTTATAGGGACATTTTGAAGGTGGTTAGTAGCCTAGTGCAATAACTCACCTCCATCCCATCTATGCATTAGTTCGTTTTATCCATTTTAATGGTAATGGCAAAGTTTGATCTATCTGTCTGTCTGTCTAATAAAGGTGAATATTTGTAGCTCAGGGTTGACATAGAGGGTTCCTTGGTACTCTCTGAGCTTGCTTGTTTTCTTGACCCAAACTAGATAATGATCCAACTAAGGACCATCATCAGTGCCAGAAAAGAGCAAATCCCACATTCCCTTTTAACACTGATGATGTTACCTAGTTTGGATAATGAAACGTCTGCAAGAAAACAAGCAAGCTCAGAGAGTGTCAAGGACCACTTATCCGTCTCTCCGTCCATCTATCTGATTTCTATAGCCGCCCATCTCAGCAAGTGACTCCGGGCAGCTCACAATTCAAAAACATATATTAGCTTTTAATGTCTGACCTTTTAATCCTGTAATTGTTTTATTTTATTTATCTATTTATTTATTTATTTATTTATTTATTTATTTATTTATTTACTTAGTAAACTTATGTGCCACCCATCTTGCCTAAGGGCAACTCTAGGCAGCTTACAATCAATACAAATGATAAAACATTATAGTAATATTAATGCCAACATTGACTTTTAAAATTAACCAAGATGGCAAAGAAGGGAGGAAGATGCATGTGGGAGGAGGTGGGAGCCTATTTTAGGTTTATCTTAATTACGACACTGTCGCTTGGTAGAGACAGACAAATTTAATAAGTAAATAAATATATTATCATTTCACCAGTTTTGATGGAAATCTACTTCCCTGCCTCAGCTTAAAAAGCAGAATTATAATAAACGATGCTTGAAAAGTTAACCTCTGGACCCAAATTTCATCAGCTAGGAAGGCGGAAATAATGGACGTGGTCTTGACCCTTTCCAGCTTGTCTTGTTTCACAGACCAGAAGTAAAACCAAAGACTTACTCTCTCTTTGGAGGTGGATGCGGTTTTCACGCTAATCACCGGCTCCCCTTTGGATTTATCCATAACAACTGTCCGCTCGGTTCCTCGGCTTCCTAGAGTGGCACAAAATGATACCGTGTTTCTCAACTTTTCAGATGACAACGTGACAATTTCAGTTTCCAGAAATTCATGCATTTGTGGACTTCGCTGGCTGGGGAATTCTGGGAACTGAAGGCCCGGCATTTTGAAGTTGCCGAGCTTGAGAAACGCTACCCAAGGAGACACCTTGGATCTCCAGAAGTGTCCATCAGGCAGATCAAAGATTTCAAATGCAGAAGAACACATTAGAATAGAATAACAGGGTTGGAAGGGAACCTTGGAGGTCTTCTAGTCCAACCCCCTGCTTAGGCAGGAAACCCTATACCATTTCAGACAAATGGTTATCCAATCTCTTCTTAAAAACTTCCAGTGTCCACAAGTTCTGGAGGCAAGTTGTTCCACTGATTAATTGTTCTAACTGTCAGGAATTTTCTCCTTAGTTCTAGGTTGTCTCTCTTTTTGATTAGTTTTCATCCATTGCTTCTTCTCCTGCCCTCAGGTGCTTTGGAGAATAGCTTGACCCTTTTTTTTCTGTGGCAGCCCCTGAGATTTTGGAACGCTGCTATCATGTCACACCTGGTTCTGCTACCATGTCACACCTTTTCATTAAACTAGACATACCCAATTCCAGCAACCGTCCTTTATATGTTTTAGCCTCCAGTCCCCTAATCATCTTTGTTGCTCTTCCCTTCACTCTTTCCAGAGTCTCCACATCTTTTTTACATCGTGGCGACCAAAACTGGATGCTGGTTTCCAAGGGTGGCCTCACCAAGGCACAAAGTGGTATCAACACTTCTCGATTCTATCCGTTTATTTTATCTGTCTAGAACTGTATCGGCTTTTTTGGCAGCTGCAGCACACAGCTGGCTCATATTTAAATGACTGTCCACTAGGACATTCACATGAAGGAATCAGCTCACCATCAGCCCTGAAACCATATTCCACCGAAAGTTTTCATTACCTGATTTAACAGATCGCGAACGTCCAGATGACCCATTTTTCTGTTCTTCTGTTCCTTTATCTTTCTTTTCATCTCCGCTCTCTTCCACTCTTTGAGGGTCTTCATTCTTGTCAGTTTTTTCTTCCTTAAGGTTGAGAGACCTACAAACAGATCAAAACAGCAGCTGAAGCTCTCTCTGTCGTGCATCGTAAATTGAAATTCATCACTTTGATCTCAGGAGGAAAAGAGCACCAGGTGATGACTTGCCAAAGTACAGTAAAGGTGGAGTTCAGATCTAAATCTGAAAAACAGCACGAAGGATACCAACCCAATCTCCCTCATACAAGTAGTCCTCAACTTACGACCACAACTGAGCCCAGAAGTTCTGTTGCTAAGTGAGTTTTATACCATTTTACCATCTTTCTTGCCACAATTGTTAAGTGATTCAACTGCAGTTAAGTTAGTAACACATTTGTTAAAGTGAATCTAGTTTCCCCATTGACTTTACTTGGCAGAAGGTCACAAAAGGGAATCACGTGGACAGTGCAACCGTCATTAATATGAGTCAGTAGCCAAGTGTCTAAATTTTGATCACATGACCTTGGGGTTGCTGCGACAGTCTTAAGTGTGGAAAATGGTCATAAGTCACTTTTTTCAGTGCCGCTGTAACTCTGAATGGTCATTAAATGAACTGTTGTAAGTCAAAGTTACAACTGCACTGAAAAAAAGTGACTTATGACTGTTTTTCACAGTTACGACCGTTGCACCATCCCCAAGGTCACATGCCATCAAAATTCAGAGGCTTGGCAACTGATTCATAGTTAAGACAGTCGCAATATCCCAGGGTCACATGATCCCCTTTCGCGACCTTCCGACAAGCAAAGTCAATGGGGGAAGCCAGATTCACATGACCACCGGATTACTAATTTATCAACTGCAGTGATTCACTTAACAACAGAGGCAAGAAAGGTTGTAAAATGGGGCAAAACTCACTTAACAAATGTCTCGCTTAACAATAGAAATTTTGGGCTCAGTTGTGGTCCTAAGTCGAGGACTACTTGTAATGCGGCCCAATTCCAGTTTATCCCCGTGGCCTTACTGACAAAGCCTGGTTAGCACCTTAAAACCATAACCGTTTGAACAAGCCGAGATGAAAAGGCTGGCTCTCTTTAGAAGAGAGCCGCCTGAACGATGAAGCAAAAACAGTCCTGGTTTATTACTTTTCTGATTTGGAGTCGGAAGAATGCCGCCTGTCTTTTTCCTTCTTGCTTTCACTTTCTTTCTTCTCGGGTAACAGTTTTTTCCCAGCAGGTTCATTTTTGGCCTGGAATCAGACAAGGAAAAGGAGTGAGAAGAGCGGGAGAAAAATCAAACGGCAAGCAACCCTCCCTGTTCTGAATCGCAAGCAGGATGAGACGGGGAAAAGAAAAGCACAGTGCAATCATCTCCAAATGTTCCATAAGGAAAATCAAACATAAGAGGTGGAGGAATAGGGGAAGGTTTAAATTCTTCTCCGGGATGTTTCCTTTGATCTTAATGTGTGCTAAAATGTATGCAGAATAATTTAGCAGACTGTGGGGGGTCCTTGGTGCTCTCTAAACTAGGTTGTTTTCCTGCAGATGTTTCGTGACCCAACTAGGTAACACCATCAGTGTTAAAAGGGAGCGTTGAGATTCGCTCTCTTCTGGCACTGATGATGTTGATCCCTACTTGGATCATGAAACGACTGCAAGAAAACAACCAAGCTTAGACAGCACAAAGAACACTCCCCCACTCCTCCTCTCCACGAACCCCACTCCCTTTTAGCACTGATGTTACCTAGCTGGGTCATGAAAACATCTGCAAAAATACAATAACCCTGAGCTACAAATATTCTCTTTATCAACAATTCAGCAGAGTAACATTTCACCAATATTCTGCTGGTAGGGCTGGATCAAAGTAATCACTTAGACCAGTCTTCCTCAACCTGATGACCTCCAGATAGGTTGGGACCAACACTCCCAGAGTTCCTCATTGGCATAACAGAGAGAATTCTGGGAATTGAAGTCCCAAAGAATCTGAAAGATCTCAGGTAGGGAAGACTATTTTGTTGTGGCTGGTTAAGAAGTCATCACCGGCTTCATATGCTATCTAGGGCTGATGGACCCATTTCTGGACCTTCCAGTCTCTTTCCTATTACTGCCATCTTATCTACTGCATGTCCCTTTCCTGGCTGGGACTGATGTTGGTTCCTCTCCTGGATGGGAATAAAGTAAGTCCTCGACTTACAACAGTTCATTTAGTGACTGTTCAGTTACAACAGCACTGAAAAAAGTGACGTATGACCATTTTTCACACTTACGACGATTACGGCATCCCCATGGTCATGCAATCTAAGTTCAGATGCTTGGCAGCTGACTCATATTTATGACTGCAGCGTCCCCAGGTCACGTGATCAACTTTTGCGACCTTCTGACGAGCAAAGTCAGTGGGGATGCCATATTCACTTAACAACCGGGTTACCAATTTAATCGCTGCAGCGATTCCCTTAACAACTGTGGCAAGAAAGGTCGCAAACTGGGGCAAGATTCACTTAACCAACGTCTCCCTTTAAGCAGCAAAAATGTTGGGCTCAATTACGGTCGTAAGTCGAGAACGACTTGCGCATTTGGATTTCATCGCTGATGAAAACACTCACTCTTTCCACAGAAATCATCTTCCCGTGCAGCTCTGTCCTGTGGAGGTGGCTGATGCACTTGGTGGCTTCCTCAGACGAAGCCATGGTGACGAAGCCATAACAACGGGCCCCGGGGCTGCGGGCGTTTGTGACTACTTTTGCACCTACCACCTTCAATGAGAGAGAAATGAAGAAGAAGATGAGAAATGGGTTTACACATCTAAACACTACTAGCTGTTGTTTGTTTGTTTGTTACCTTCTGGGAGATAGCAATAGCACTTAGATGTATATACCGCTTCATACGTGCTTTGCAGCCCTCTTAAGCAGTTTAGAGACAGCCTCTTGCCCTTTCAATAATCTGGGTCCTCATTTTACCGACCTAGGAAGGATGGACGGCTGAGATGGACGCCGAGGTGGCGCAGTGGTTAGAGTGCAGTACTGCAGCTACTTCAGCTGACTGCTAGTTCAGCAGATCAGTGGATCAAATCTCACCGGCTCAAGGTCGACTCAGCCTTCCATCCTTCCGAGGTGGGTAAAATGAGGACCCAGATTGTTGGGGGCAATTCATTTCATTTCATTTTTTCATTTTATTTGATTTATATACCGCCCTACTCCCGAAGGACTCAGGGCGGTGAACAGGCACAAGATAAAACACATAGAATACAAAAATTTAAGAGCAGAAGTAAAATCGAATTAAATCAGTTTAGCCCAAGACAAATTTAAAACCCCAGGTTAAGAACAAATTAAAATTTACATTAAAATATGCTATTTAGTATACTGTCTTTGGTGTAAGCCACCCAGAGTCCTCGGAGAGTGGGCAGCATAGAAATATGAATAATTTAAAAAAAAATCAACCTTGAGCCGGTCAGGATCGAACTGCCAAATTGCTGGCAACCGGCAGTCAGCAGAAGTAGCCTGCAATAACCACTGCGCCACCACGGCTCACGGAGATTTAACATGTAAATGAAGACTCAATCATCCAGGCCAAAAGTATCTAAAAAAGGTGATGTAACCTTTTTAGATAGGTTCTGGGAGAAGGCTTCACAGTATCCAAAGCAGAATAGTTAGATTCTGTAATAGCTTTGTACCATATAGTATCAACTTTGTTAACTCTCGGGACTCTTTTTTCCGCTACGTATTCTTAATCAGGGGTGTCCAACATTGGCAACTTTAAGACTTGTGGACTTCAATTCCCAGAATTCCTCAATCAGCCATGCTGGCTGGGGAATTCTGGAAGTTGAGGTCCACAAACCTTAAAGTTGCTGAGGTTGGAGACTTTTGTTCTAAATGGTCTGTGATTAATATATTTGTGTATGTATGTAGGCATGTGTCTGTGTGTGTGTGTGTGATACACACACACACAGAGGGAGGGGGATATGTATATGTGTGGGGCATGTATAGGTATGGATATGTATGTATGTTTGTTTGTTTGTTTTGAGAGCAGGCATCACAATTTCATTTTTTAATGTATGCCAGTGTGTTCACAGAAAAAAGTGACCATAAAGGTTATCTTATCTTTATTTAGCCATGGCTTATTAACTAAACCATGACAATCAACTAGGCTTTAAATCAGTGGTGAAATCCAATTTTTTTTTTACTACCGGTTCTGTGGCCGTGGCTTGGTGGCCGTGGCTTGATGGGCATGGCAGAGGAAGGATATTGCAAAATCTCCAATCCCACCCCACCCCACTCTGGGGCCAGCCAGAGGTGGTATTTGCCGGTTCTCCGAACTACTCAAAATTTCCGCTACCGGTTCTCCAGAACCTGTCAGAACCTGCTGGATTTCACCCCTGCTTTAAATCCTGTTTTCTAAGCCATAACCCATTCAGTGTGTTGTGTTTACTCCATACAGCAAGTCACATTATGGCTTTGTATCATGTGTGGAGCCATCCACTGCTTGTAGACATTTGTGGCTGTTCAGTCGCTAAGTCGTGTCCGATTCTTCAGAACTCCATGGACCAGTAGTGGGATTCAAATCCTGGCGCTACCGGTTCGCTATTGGGAGCACGTGGGCACACACGCTCGCTGAGCGCGCAATGCTTATGCACATGCGCAGAGCGTTTTTTATGACGTCTGGGTGAGTGGACGAAGCCTCCCGCCGCCACCACTACCGGTTCGCCTGAACTGGGGTGAACCGGTAGCAACCCACCCCTGCCATGGACCATAGCACACATACCCGCCCCCCAAAAAATATTAAAAAGTATTTTATTGGCAAACTTTACAATTGACAGGAAGGACACTTTTTTTTTGACCTCTTGATGCCCCCTGTATGTTAGATAATAAATCTTGTAATTCCTTCTTGGTTTTGTAGCATGGAATTTGGAGTTCAATGACTGAATTAGATTAACTGGTTAACTTCTCAGGACACAATTTGCAAGGGAGTAACTTTGCAAGTATCACATAAATCTGTCAGTGAGCATCCTTCTGTACCAAAGGCAGATGAATAATACCCCCCCAAAAAACCACACTTAAATAAAAATATGGAGCAACAGTGGCCAAAAACAACCCTTATGTAAGGTCCTCTTTTTTCTCTTCCCAAATTTAAAATTATTACTTTAATCAAAACTTTTATCTGGCAATATTGAGCTGACAAAAAGCTTTAGCATACCATTTTACTTCTAGTCACCTGCCAATAGGACATCTCTAATAAAATGGAACTTTGAGGAACTTCTAGCCTCTGAGTCTTCTTTCGTTGGGGGTGTTACTTGGAACCCTGACACCTACCTTGCCATATTTGCTAAACAGGTTCTTCAGATCAGTCGCTCTGGTTGAAGAGGAAAGACCACTGACCCACAGATTTCTGCCAGAGCTAGGAGTGGAGCGACCTATATTTGGGGGTGGGGGAGGGAGGGGAGAGGAGAGGAGAGGAGACATCAAACATGACAACGCACTCTGGGTTGAAAAATCCCTCCCAAATATTAAGCAGATTTCCACACACGCACTTCACGGTCTGTTTCTATTGCTCCCCTCTGGGAGGAGGTTTTGAAGTATTTCGAACAGGACTACCAGATTCTGTAACAGTTTTGTTCCCTAGGCCATCTGTCTGGTAAACTCTCAGGATTCCTTTTTCTCATCATGTACATGTACACATCCGAACTAGACTGTGGTGTTTCTGTGTGTCATAATTGTGTGTGTGTGTATGTGGATATATGCATAATGGTTATCTTTTGAGAACTGAATGCAATGAAATTTCATTTTAATGTATGCTGATTAGTGTATATTTAAAGTGACTATTAATAAAGTTCTATTCCTATTCTATCCTATTCTATTTTATCCCATCCCATCCCTGTTCCTATCCCTAATTCTATTCTAGTTTTGTTCTATTCATCATTTTTAAGGACCTTTTAACTTCAAATGGTCCCTAAACGAATGGTTGCAAGTTGAGGACTACCTGTAGCTATATGCATATATATATGGTCATAAACCTACCCTTCTCATCTTTGGAAGCACTTTTAGCCTCTGCATCCTCATTTGAGCTAAAGACGAGAAAGAAAAAAAAGATAAGAACATTATTCAACCAGAAAAAAGCCATCTGGAAAATGAACAGGCATGACAATGGGTACTATGATCAAATACCTACCAGAGAAAAACCAAAAAGAAAAAAGAATTGACCTTGACTAGGGAAGGGGCACAGTGGGTCTTTTTTTTTAAAAAAAATAAAAAATAAAAACCCCAAAGGAAAGTCTCCGTTGACCACCAGAGAACTAACTGCTAATCAGGAATACAAAGTTAAGAATGCAACCTTTTGGAAGATGGAGATGATTATATATATATATATGTATAAATAGATAGATAGATAGATATCTTTAAATGCTTTAAGAAAAAAAAGAACAGCCAAACGTTCTCCTACGGAAACAAACTGTGTAAAGACAACTTAAAAAAAAAAAGAGAAAATCTACGTCGAAGGATAAGCTATCGTCTCGTTGGGGCCCTCAGCAGTGGGGGAGGGGGGTTTCACTGGAAGGCATCACAGCACATTTTTGGCATTCATAAATAACCAACGGGCGAGAAAAAAAGACAGCATCTGGTCTAAAACGGAGAGAAACAAACCTCGTGTTCTGATCACCACCCTCTGGGGCAGAGGACTCTCTAGTGGAAGAGGGCTCCTCCTCAACATTAGCCTTCACTTCCATCTTCTCGGCCTCTGGACTAACCACTTGAGGACCTGTGTCCGATTCCGCGGTTTCCTCACTACTGGCTTCCAGAGTTTGGGCTTCTTTGCTACTCTCACCACCTCCACCTCCACCTCCACTCCTGCTCTCTACCGCTAAAGAGTCCGAGTCCGGTTTGGCTTCCTCAACTGTCTGCTCGCTCGGCTCCCTTTTGGCTACCACTAAGAGCTTTGCATCATCCTGCTGGTTCTTGGCCTCAGCTGGGCCTGATTGGCTGTCTGTATCTACAAGGTCTTCGTCCGAGTGGGTGGGAGAGGCGGCGGCCAACATGTCTTCTTCTTCTCCTCCTCCTTCTTCTTCTTCTTCCTCCTCCTCCTCCTCCTCCTCCTCCTCCACGGCTTCCTGTTTGCCCGGCCATGAATTATTCGTTTCCTGCGCCTGCTCAGCTTCGGAAGTGTCTTCTTTAAGGGGCTCAGATTTACAAGTGTCACCCAAAATGTCGAGCACTTTCTCATTTTCTATGGATTTAACAGGAATAGAATGGCACAAGGTTTAATCACCAGGGAAACATAGCAAAGACAAATGCCGGACGGGCATGGCTGCCCGACTAACACCAAGAGCGTAGGGCTTAAAGGCTAACACAGAGATTGGAAAACCCTCTGGGCCAACCACATTCACACGCCTTAAAACCAACTGCAGTCTAACATGGCTATCAGAGCAGGGCCTGAAAGAGAGAAGGAAGAATAACCTTTATGCACAACGCTTCCCGGCGTGATCCTTGGCTGTCTTCACACAACTGCGACGCCTTTCCAATTCTTGCCGAGACTGGCTTCCAAGCGCGGCGGTGTGGTGTGCTTGTGCGGACGGGGATCAGTGCTTTTCGACGGTTCGGCTTGCGGATTTTACCAATATTCTTTTAAGGCGACTAAGTCCACATGTGAACAACTTCGGAAGTGGTTCGAAATACGTTTGGAGTCCAGAAAGCAAAGCGGAAGGCCTTCCGTGACCTTCCGTCTTCAAGTCTTCGCGTAGCCACTTAAAAAGATTTGATCCCTGCTTTGACATTATTCAACTGCACCTCTCTAGCCAAAACTACCGTCCCAAAGCCCTGAGCGATATCACAGGATCTGCTTGGCACGTCTTAACGGCTCCTTTATATGCGGGGCCCGGCCTGCTCCCCGGTGAAGGGATCTTAAGCAAAATTATCATCTCAGAAGTCTGATGATTATTGTGCGATAAGAATCGAAGGTGCTCCCGCAGATCTGGTGATATGGCCAGATTTCCAATCTCTGTGGCTTTTCCTTTGGAGGCGTTCTGGACCGTGCACCAAGTTAGAATAATGGACTACAGCTACTTATGGAATAAAAACCAAAGAGAGAGTAACTAAAGGGACTGGTGTGCAAGACCTAGTGGAAAATGCACAGGAGGGGCAGAAGGTTTTTGAAATACAGTACCTGATTCCAAAGGAAACTCGTCAAGCTCCTATTAAGAATCACAAAAAAAAAAGGGGGTGTCAGGGCTCATCTGGCACATGGGATTATTCGATTATTTATATTTTTGTATCTTACCCACCTAGTCTTCTGTTGCAGGACCCTTGGTGCTCTCTGAGCTTGGTGGTTTTCTTGCAGACATTTGATTACCAAACTAGATAACGTCATCAGTGACAGAAGGGAGATACCCCCCCATTCCCTTCCAGCACTGATGATGTTACCTAATTGGGCAATGAAACATCTGCAAAAAAACCACCAAGCTCAGAGAGCACCAAAGAATCTGCAACAGAAGACTAGGAGGTTAAAGTTACCAAGGACCTCACAGTTCAACCCTGAGCTACTAATACAGGTAGTCGATTTACGGCCATAATTCAGCCCCAAATTTCTGTTGCTAAGCAAGACAGTTGTTAAGTGAATCACTGCAGTGGCTCAGTTTAGTAACGTGGTACTTATGTTCAGTAAATCTGGCTTCCCCCGTGATTTCGCTTATCAGAAAGTCGCAAAAGGGGATCATGGGACCAAGAGACACTGCAACTGTCATAAATATGAACCAAGTGTGTGAATGTTGACCATGTGACCATGGGGATGCTGCAATAGTTGTAAGTATGAAAAACGGTTATGAGTCGTTTTTTTCAGGGATGTTGTCACTTTGAACAGTCACTAAATGAACTGTCAATTGAGGACTACCTGTAGGTAAAATTAGTCTCCTGATTTTAATCCCTGCCTTCATACTAATTCAGTGATGGCCTGGAGGCAGAAGTTACATCTCTCAGCTTGAGTGCGATGCTTACCCTGGCTCCAGGGGTGGGTTCGAATTTTTTTTACTACCGGTTCTGTGGGCATGGCTTATTTTGTGGGTGTGGCTTAGAGGTCATGTGACTAGGTGGGCGTGGCTAGCTGGTCAGTCATTTCTGGAAGGTCCTCACACTTACGACCAGTCCTCGCACTTACGACCCGATTCATTTGTTTGCTTTTAACACTGATCAGCTGTAGGAGGGCCCTTTGAAGCCCCGCGGCAAGAGTTTTTTTCCCTCTAGTCATCAGCTGGGACTCAGGAGGCAGCAATAGATTGGGGGTGGGACCAAATAAAAGGTAAGAATAACGTGGGGGGGGGAAGAACCGGTGACGTCATATCGTCACCGCTACTGGCTCAGCCGAACCGGACCAAACCGGGAGAACCCACCACTGCCTGACTCACCATTTTCCTTCTACACCAGGGGTCCCCCAACCCCCGGTCCGTGGACGGGCACCGGGGTGTGGCATGCCAGAAACCGGGTTGTGCAAACAAGCAAAGCCCCATCCGTGGGATGCAGGCAACACGTGAAACTACGCCCCCTCCGGTCCATGGAAAAACCTCCCCCCACGGAAACCGGTCCCTGGTGGCCAAAAGGTTGGGGGGGGAGGGGCTCTGTTCTACACGACAACGTCAATAAATGGTATTTGCAAGTCATCCTCCTATAGTTATGACCATCGTACTATGTTTGACATCCAGCTCACAATCATGATGGCTGTTGCACCTTTCAGTCACATGACTGCGACCTTCCCAGCCAGCTTCCGAAAAGCCAAGTCGATTGGGGAAGCCAGGTTTGCTTAATGACTGAGCGATTCCCTTAACAAGCAGATGATTCGCTTAACAACATGGTAAAAATGGTGGTAAAACCAGGTCTGGTCACGTGATCACTCGCTGAATGACATCGCATAGCAACCAAATCCCAATTGCACTCGTAAGTGGAGTATTGCTTTAATGAAACCCAAACATTTTTTGCTATTGGCTACTTAATTTCAAGGTTGCTTTTTGATAACTTGCAAGTCAAAAGAATTGTTTGGGGCACCGGGAAATGTTTCTGTCAAGGAGGCTATGAAGATTTCTGAATACAGGTGGTCCTCAATTTATAACCGTTCGTTTAGTGACCGTTCAAAGTTACAACAGCACCGAAAAAAGGGACTTAAGACCATTTTTCACACTTACGACCGTTGCAGCATCCCCATGGTCATGTGAACAAAATTCGGATGCTTGGCAACTCATAGTTATGACAGGTGCAGTGTCTCGGGGTCATGTGATCACGCTTTGTGACCTTCTGACAAGCAAAGTCAATGGGGAAGACAGATACACTTAACAACCGGGTTACTAATTTATAAGCTGTGGTAATTCACTTAACAACGGTGGCAAGAGAGATTGTAAAATGGGGCAACGCTCACTTAACAACAGGAATTTTGGGCTCAATTGTGGTTCTAAGTCGAGGACTGCCTGTACAGGTGCCCAAATACAATTTAAATACATACTCACAATTCTTATTTAGGCAGGAAATTTCCAACGTTTCTTCAATACCCAATTGCAACAGAACTCCAGTTCTGATGTAGAAGTAAAAAAATCTAAATTTTTCTCCAAGGAAAAAATTCCAAACTCATAGCATTGTTGCAAACTCCCAAATATTCCTATAGCCACATTCGTGCCAGGAATGGAGGACAAAGCAGCTAAATCTGATGGAAGCTTGCATAAACCACAGTGTGAACATAACCTGGCTTAGAACATAACACTTTCTTGTTCTAACCAAAAAAAAAAAAAAAAGCAGTTTTGCAACAGTACAGAATTTTTTTCCCTGTAGGAAGAACAGAGAACTGAAAAACAGCGTCAAACCTCTTTGCTTATATTATTAACTTCTTTCTAAAGTTCAAATACCTTCAGGCTTGCAAAATCAGCAGATGATAGATCTATGGTGTTACTAGCCTCTTCAGTCTCTTCCTGAAAGAGATTTAAAAAAAAAAAAATCATCACATTTCCCGAAAAGCTCGACATTCTTTCACTAATGTCAGGCCCAGAAATCGGTCGCTCTCTCCTCGATCCATTATCCCCCCCCACAAACATGATTTGGTAGCCACCACACAAATCTGCTCACTTTCTCAAATAATAAATATATAAAATAAATGGAGCGGAAAAGAAATAAAACATGATGGGACAAAATGAGAACTGTCTTTTGATGGGGATGCTTCAATGGTTGATGCTGTCGTTTTCCTTTTGCATTCCTACCAGGTTTCAAACTGTCTGGGAATCAGAGATCCTAGGCCAGGCCAATCACGATTGCTGGAACTTACAGAATCCACCATCCTTAGTGAACGTGAGGCTGGAAACAGGATCTCTATCATTTTTATACAGGTTGGATTGCCGTTTATACAAGCCAAAAGCAACAAGGCAACACGCCAAACGCTCAAAAGCATGCCAACAGCTCAGAGACTTGAGTCGCGAAACACATCAGAAACACGCATGGAGATATCTGTTGGTTTGGCCTGATCTAGAAACGATAAGCCAAACACCACCAACAGGGATACACATCCCTGTGTATATACAGGAAGTCCTCGACTTAAAACAGTTAATTTAATGACCATTCAAAGTTACAACCAGCACTGGAAAAAGGTGACTTATGGCCATTTTTCATAGTTACGACCTTTGCGGCAACCACGTGATCGAAATTCCAACCCTTGGCAGACAGGTTCTCACTTACGACGGTTGCAGTGCCTTGGGGGTCATGTGTTCAGCATCTGCAACCTTCTGACAAGCAAAGCCAAGAGGGGAAGCCACGTTCACTTAACGACGGTGTTACTTAACTTCACGGCTGCCGTGATTCGCTTAACGAATGTGGCAAGGTGTACAATGGGGCAAAAATCCATTGAACCAACGTCTCGCTTAACAAGAGAAAATTGGGGCTCCATTGTGGTCGTTAAGTCGAGGACTGCCTGTCCTGGATTTTGGATCCTAAAGCCGAAACAGCACAGGCAGTCAAGCTTCCTCTTGCAGAAGCGGCATCTTTTCCCGAGTTCATCCAGTAGCCTAACCTCAGGCGACCTTCTTACCGATTCACCAAGAGGTGTGGCGCACCCAGCCACCCACATGCCAAAATCTGTCTCAAAGGTGCTTCCCACCCCCCCCAAGAGGCAACTGGACTTTCTGGTTTTTCTTTTGCTTCTCATTCAAGAAGCTTCTTCAGCTCTGCGTGAAAAAGCACCTTGGAGACAACCATGATCTGGATGACTGAGAATCTCACTAAATGTCTCCATAAATGGCACAACAGAGGAGAAAAAACCCATCAGGCCTAGATCCAGCAGTCCGTCTGCATTTAAAAGATTAAAGTCCATTATTTTGAAAACAACTAAGTCCACATTTCAGACAGAGAGGACAGCTGGTTTGAAAGAGGGGTCAAAGAGGCCATCTATGTCAAAATTGAACAGCCCTCTCTCAACGGAGGGGGAGGGATACGACATCATCTATCTCCAGTCTACAACACAGTCCTTTCAGCAGTTCCAAGGAGGCTCCACACCCATTTGCACCACTCAGGTGACCCTGAGGACATAGATTAAACCTCCAAGTGGCCTCAACGACTCTCTAAAAGGATGCAAGTGTCCAGCTGTCTGCAAGGAATACAAATCCTTCCATTCCCCACCATCCAGTCAGAGCTGAAAAAGCTTCTTGGCTGAGAAGCGAAACGTCTTCAAAGAAAAAAAACAAGAAAGTCCAGTTGCCTCTTGAAAAAAGCATCCTTGGGAGAATCTCCATCGACTCCGAAATCTGTTGGTGGCTTCAGCTCTGAAGCGCAGTCCAGCCCTACGTAACGCCCCTTGATTGTGAAAATATCTTAAGCAAATTGCTGCTTGCCTTCTGCTTGCTAACCTGGAGCGGGAAGGCGGGAGAGCCGAGTTGGAAAAGAACGCACCTAACTGCAGCCCTTCGTATCCAACGTCAAGAGAGATTTATTAACTTGCAACAACAGGGCCTCGGGGACTTGTTCCTGCCCAGCGTGTTCGATGGCCCAGCCATCCGTGGAAGTCTTCTCCATGAAGTGGGCCCCTATTTTCTTACATCTGCCCAGAGGACAAGATTGCATGCAGGTACGCCTCGACTTAAAACCGTTCACTTGGTAACTGTTCAGTTACAGCGGTGCTTAAAAAAGGGCCTTGGGACCGTTGCGTGGCAGCATTTCCCCCAAGGTCACATGATCAAAACTCAAAAGACGCTTAGCAACTGACTCGTATTTATGACCCGTGGCAGCGTCCTGGGGTCATGTGATCCCTTTTTGAGACCTTCTGACTGGCGAAGTCAAAGGGGAAGCCAGATTCACTTAACCACGTGACTGACTCAACCCCTGCGGCGATTCGCTTCCCAACTGTGGCGAGAAAGGTCGCCAAATTGGGGCAAAACTCACTTAGCAAATGTCTCCCTTAGCAACATACGTTGGGGGCTCAATTGTGGTTGTAAGTCGAGGACTGCCTGTATAAGGAGCTGAAGGAAGAAAGGAGAATCGGGGCATTATCTGTTAGCCCAGGACAGCCAGTGTCTCTTAACAGACGTTCATTTTGGTGCATTTTCAAGCTTTCTGACTAAGGCAGTATTTCTCAACATTGGAGACTTTAGGACCGTGATGGTGAACCTATGGGCACGCGAGCATTTCCCTAGCTCAGCTCCAGCGCACATGCATGTGCCGGCCAGCTGATTTTCAGGCCTTTCGGTCCCACTGGAAGTTGGAAAACGGGCCGTTTCCGGCTTCTGGAGGGCCTCTGGGGGGTGGGGGGGAGAAGCCATTTTCGCCCTCCCCAGGCTCCAAGAAAGCCTCTGGAGCCTGGGGAGGGAGAAAAATGGGCTACCGGACTACTGGAGCACTGGGGTGGGGGGGCATTGAATTATGGGTGTGAGCACATGCGTGCGACTCCCCCCCCCCTGCAATTTGGCACACAATGGCAAAAAGGTTAGACATCACTGCTTTAGCATGTGCGGACTTCAACTCCCAAAGCATGGCTGGCTGGGGAATTCTAGGAGTTGAAGTCCCCACGTCCTAAAGCTACCACGGTTGACAAACACTGAACTGAGGAAACTAAGATAGGGGAGAACCAGGGAAGATTTGAGGCTTTGGATTTTTTTATTTTTTATTTTTTTGCTTTAGGCCTGGGGATGGCTGTGGCTTTTAGAAAAGGGAGAAGGCTAAGCTTGAAAGCAGGAAAAGTCCTGTTTCAACTGAGACGGGACTCAAGTCTTCGTGAGACACCCTGCTTTGTCACAATTGAGTCCTGTGCTTCTATCACAGGATCAAAAGAACACTAGGGGGGGGAAAAAGAACATTCTCATAAATTATCCAGAATGCACAACAGTCCTCATAAAGCTTCCAATTCCCGAATTGTCCAGAAGGCAAGTTTAAAATTCAGGGCTTCAGAAGTCAGCCCAAGTGGGTTTTTCATCAAAATAAAAGTTGGAGGTTATGCTAAAGCGTGATTTGCTTCATCCTTTTTGTGCACTGAATAAAACTATTGGCTAGATTCACACCTAAGTCAAACCTAAATAATTCTTTTCATTGGCAGGGATGGAGGTTTGCAAAGAGGAATTTAAAATCCATTCCACCCTACCCATGACACAAATTTGCATTCAACAGTTCAGGCTGGCTCTTGATCCTTCCCTGCCCCACAATTTCAATCTAGTTAAAAGGCTACAGTCACAGAATTGAACATCCCAATTGCAGGTAGTCCTCAATTTACAACCATTCGTTTAGCAAACCAAAGTTACGATACCGAAAACCGTGATTTACAACTGATTCTCACATGTAATGAGCACAACATCCCCACATGATTAAAATTCGAATACTTGGCAATCGGCATGCATTTTTGATGGTGGGATCATGGGATCACCATTTGTGACCTTCACAGCCATCTTCCAAAAAATAAAGTCAGTGGGGGAGGCCAAATTTGCCTAATGACGGCATGATTCATTTAACAACCAAGGCAAAAGGGTCGTAAAATTGGGCGCCAGTCACTTAACAACCGGCTGGGCTTAGCAATGGAAATTCTGCTCTCAAGTATGGTGGTAAATCGAGGACTACCTGTAAAACAAACATACAGATAGTCCTTGACTTACAATCACAACTGAGCCCAAAATTTGTTGTTAAGTGAGACATTTGTCAAATGAGTTTTGTTCCATTTTACGACCTTTCTTGCCATAGTTGTTAAGTGAATCACTACAGTTGATAAAGTTAATAACCTCTGTTGCTAAGTGAATCTCGCTTCCCCATTGACTTTGCTGGCCAGAAGGTCGCAAAAGGTGATCATATGACCACGGGACGTTGCAACGGTCATAAGTATGTTGCCAAGTGTCTGAACTTTTATCATACAATCATGGGGATGTTGCAAAGTTTGTAACTGTGAAAAATGGTCACAAGTCACTTTTTTCAGTGCCGTTGTAACTTTGAACGGTCACTAAACGAACTGTTGCAAGTCAAGGACTCCCGGTACTTTAGAATCTGTTCACAAATCATTTGCAAAAAAAGCACGTTTAGTAACTGAACTTTCACTCACGTATTATTTTGCCACCACCATTCCAAACCAAAACATTTATTAGTTTTTGAAAACACAACTAATATGGTTGCAAGACCAAGATTTCCCTTCCACTGACTCACGAGTCGCGGCAGTGAGCTAAGCATCCCTATCCACCTTCTTCTACACACATGAAAATGAGTGAATGGAAACACACACAGGGGAGGGGACACGCATGCACGCAGCATTTCATTAATAAAACTTTCTGGGGCTTCTAAACAAAGCATGCACTGAAAAACTAGAAGGGGCAAACAAGAATGCCATGGCTATGGATTCATACACACACACACAGACACGTAAAGGTGGAGGGGATAAGAAGGGAGCTTATTTTTTCAATCCTGGGTCATTTACGTCCTTTCAAGGGGAGGGGAGGAAGAAAACGGAAAAATAAAAAATGAAACGTTTAAAAGGATGGCGAATAAATCTGCTCCCAAAGAAGGTGCATACCATGGCTACTGGTATTTCTCTGGATTCTTCTGGCATGTCTGTTAAGGATAGGGCTGCCTCCATGTTAGCCAGAGCACCTCCTGTCAGCTGCTCTGGAAGTCCTCGCCTTTCTGCATCAGCACTCTCCTTACTGTCAAAGAGGGAGTCAAGTCTACTATCAGCACTGCTATCCTCTCGGCAGTCTACACCACTGCTGTTATCTATGACTGCTTCATCTAACACACTAATATCCATCATGTCAATATCCTGCAAGTTATCCAAACTTGCATCAATATCCTCCTGCAAAAAGAAAAAAAAAAAAGCCACATATATAATAGTTGCTGGGGTTCCGACGTAGAAGTCTTACGGGGCATCTGGTAGCCTACGTTTGTTCGCAGTACCTGTCCATCTCCGGATTCGTCTTCAAGGCCGTTGTCCTCTACTTCTTCTTCCTCAAGCCTCCGCCCTAAAAAGAACAGAATCCTTGAGCAAACACACACACACACAATTCATTCTATCTATCTATCTATCTATCTATCTATCTATCTATCTATCTATCTCATCATCTCTTTTTAATGATCCCATAATCCCTTGTGGGGTGCAGTCTGGACAACGGAATAGAACTGAGTGATTACTGGCCAGATGCCCTTCCTGTGCCGAGAGAAGTATCTGCCCTCTACCTAGGATCAAACTCACATCCTCCTGATTGTGAGGCGAGAGCTCCACCTCTAGGCCATCGCACCACTCCCATATCTATCTATCTATCTATCTATCTATCTATCTATCTATCTATCTATCATCTACCTACCTACCTACCTACATACTTTATCTATCTACCTACCTACCATCCATCCATCTATCTACTGTATCTATCTACAAGTAGTCCTCAACTTACAACAGTTCATTTAGTTACCGTTCAAAGTTACAACATGTCAGAGTGTTTACAGCGTGACTACAACCCAGGAGCAAAATACAGTACACAGAGGTCTTTCAAACTGTGGTTCATATACAAGACATACATACATACATACATACATACATACATACACACACACACACACACGCTAAGCAAAGCCAGGCAATCAATCAGTTTTCTTCAACTCTACACAGAGGATTACAATGCATATACACGCGACAAGGAGTGTGATACACAAGGAGAGAGAGATGTCCTCAAATGGCCTCCCTTATATAGGCAGCTTCTTAAAGGGCAATAACCCTGATGACTCATCCTCAGTCTTAAAGGGCTGGTCATCTTTAAATCATTACCCTGACACTCCTCCCATTTCAAGGTGAACAGCTGAATGCTTTACCATATTCAGGATGCTCTGTTTCCATTATGGACTTGCCTCCAGCTTCAGTTCCTACTCTCATTGCTACACACGCTACGAGTACATTTACTACTATAACTGCTGGAACGACCCATGACTCTGTACACTCTGTCTCATTAATCTCTATTACATCCTGTTTACCATCTCTTGGCTCGATACTGTTACTTTCTCTCTTCAGTTTCCTCAGTTTGGTTTATCTGCCTGCCTGTCATTCTCTTTAACTTTGGCTTCCTCCATTTATCTCGTTGTATCTTAGGCAATGACCTTGGACAATATCTCTTGGTAATTATGGGGTTCATTCCTAACACTATCTACTCTAACCTCACTTGCAGTGAACCATTCAAGAGTTAACCCTTTATTATACCCTTCAGGTCTCCTATGTATACCTCTGTTTGCCTTGGGTTTTTCTTACTTGCAGGATACACCCTGTATTTTTCCTCCTTAGGAACAGCGCACTCTACATACCTTTGATTAACCAATTTAACCCTTCACCTTTATCTATTTCCTTGCATACCTTTACTGCTTCTTTTTGGCACTTTCTTGGGGATTATTTCAGACACCACTGGAATCTCATCAGGGTGTCCTCCTTCTTCCTCAATAGCCTGTTAGAAAGAGACAAAGTCAGCATGGTAAACAGACAGTATTGAATTTGGCAAAAATACCACAGGGTTTCCATTCATGATGGCCATTGACTTAGAATAGAATAGAACCCTTTATTGGCCAAGTGTGATTGGACACACAAGGAATTTCACTCCAGTGCATAAATGTACATACAAGTAAAAGAGACAAATCCTGATCATAATCATAAAATACAATCATCATAAACTATAAGATACAACACTCAGTGATAGTCATAGGATACTAAATAAAAGCAATCAGTGTAAGTCATAAGATACAAAGAACAAAGTGATAGTCATAAGATGGTAAAGGTAATAGGAAAGATGAGTAGGATAATAGTAATACAACCTTACTATGTAGGCCCTAGGTTGTCAAAATTGATTTCATTGAGGGCTACCTCAGGGATGTGTTCGATCTTGGGGGGCCAGGATGGGCGTGGCCAGCTTGACGTCACTCATGTTGGGGGCACCTGTGGTGGCCCGAGCGTTCTGCCAGCAAAAACAGGCTCCCGAGCTCTGTTTTCAGCTGCAATGGCCTCCTGCAACCCTCTGCCAGCAAAAACGGAGCTCGGGAGGGCCGCACACAGCCCTCCTGAGCTCCGTTTTCGCTAGCAGAGGGACTGCAGGCCGGTCCTTTGCTGTTTGCAGGGTAGCCCCACGGGCCAGATCTAAGCACCCCATGGACCAGATCTGGCCCCCGGGCCTTGAGTTTGACACCCCTGACCTAGGGCATAAGACAAGTGTTGTGGGAATTTTATCTCATGTCATATGGACAGAAGGAAAACAGGGAATGGCACTAAAGTGTGGCCTCTAAGTTCATAGAGAAAAGCCTGCATGACATTTTCGGCTGAGGGACATGCACAGCTGTTGTTGATTTGCAAAAGAGAAAGTTGGGACTAAGATAGACTTCTGGCCTAACCCAACATGGCTCAGACTACAGGTAGTCCTCAACTTATGACCTACAGTTGAGGCCAAAATTTATGTTGGTAAGTGAGACATTAAGTGAGTTTTGTCCCACTTTATGACCTTTCTTGCCACCTTTCTTAAGGTAATCACTGAACCTGTTAAGTGAGTTACACGGTTCCTAAGCGAATCTGGCTTCCCCATTGACTTTGCTTGTCGGAAGGTCGCAAAAGGGTGATCCCATGACCCTGGGAGACTGCAACCGTCATTAATGTGAGTCAGCTGTCAAGCATCCGAATGTAAATCACGTGACCATAGGGATGCTGCAACGGTGGTCATAAGTCACTTTTTTCAGTACCTTTGTAACTATACAGTCACTAAAAGAACTGTTGTTTAAGTCGAGGGCTGCCTGTATTTCTATTTATTTGCTTCCTAGAGGCAGCTCTCCCTTCTACCTAGGGAGGCAAACAAGCCTACATCTCTAGCACCAAGCATGACAAGAACCGTTCGGCTGCATCAGGCCAGCTGGTACTTCCTCAGGCTAGAGAGCCTGATGCCTGCAGGCAAGCAGCAGATAGAGACATTTCCCTAGTTCCCTTTCAATGCTCTGCAACTGGCATAGAGACACATTCTCAGCCCAGAGGTAATACTGAACCTTGAAGACGAATACCCTGATATATAGGTAATCCTCATCTTACAACAGTTTATTTAGTGACCGCTCAAAGTTACGAAGGGACTTATGACCATTTTTCACATACGACTTTTGCAGCATCCCTATGATCAAAATGCAGATGCTTGGCATCTGGCTCATACTTATGACCGTTGCTGTGTCCCTGTCAATCCTGAAGCCATTTCTCGAGCATCTTCAGGGCTGCCACAGCTACACTGTTTGGAGCTGTGGGAACAGGAAGGGGGGGAATATAGATAGCTGGGGACTTGTACCCAAAATAAAATTCTTTCTCCTGGGAGAACTTTTGACTTTTAATTTGGATAGGACCTTTAGATGTGCCAATATGACATGCCTAATAAATCTGTACTTTGAGGAACTCCTAGGCCTCAGAGTTTTGATTGTGTTGGGTCTGTTACTTGGAACCTTGACATTCCCAAGGTCATGTGATTCCCTTTTCCAAAATCAGTGCAGAAGCCAGATTCACTCAACAATTATGTTACCAACTTATCAACTGCAGTGATTCACTTAACAACTGTGGCAAGAGAAGTCGTAAAATGGGACAAAACTGACAACAAATGTCTCACTTAGAAACAGAAATATTGGGCTCATTTGTTTTTCATAAGTCGAGGACTACCTGTACTGTCCTCTCTTCCAGAAATGTATCCAATCCACTTTTCAAGCTATATTCTTGTGAGTAGCTATCATCATAATCCACAATAATAAACTCCACAGATAAATTGTACAAATGAGTCTAGGTTAAATATTTTCTCAATCTTTTGCATGATTTTAAACACCTCAATCATTTCCTTTCTTCTACCCAACCAAGCTAAAGTATTCTAAATCTTTTATTATAGATGGAAAAGCCTGAGCCCATAATTTTTCTGGCTATTCTGGTCACATGTTCTCCAGTTATTATATAATTTTTCAAGCACAGCAACCAAAACCACACAATATTCAACATATAAACCCTCCACACACGAGGATGGTGACATTTTAAATTCTCTGAATAGAATAGAATAGAATAACAGAGTTGGAAGGGACCTTGGAGGTCTTCTAGTCCAACCCCCAGCTGAAGCAGGAAACCCTACACCACTTCAGACAAATGATTATCCAACATCTTCTTTAAAACCTTCAGTGTTGGAGCATTTACAACTTCTGGATGCAAATTGTTCCCACTGATTAATTGTTCTCACTGTCAGAAAATTTCTCCTTAGTTCTAAGTTGCTTCTCTCCATGATTAGTTTCCACCCATTGCTTCTTGTCCTGCCCTCAAGTGCTTTGGATAATAGCTTGACTCCCTCTTCTTTGGGGCAGCCTCTGAGATATTGGAAGGCTGCTATCATGTCACCTCTAGTCCTTCTTTTCATTACACCAGACATACCCAGGTTCCTGCAACCGTACATCCTATGTTTTAGCCTCCAGTCCCCTAATCATTTTTGTTCTTTCCTAATAACTATATTCTTAGCTATAAACCTTTTCCTAATGAGAGATACCTTAGACCTCTTCAATATATACAGGTGGTCCTCAATTTACAACCTCAATTGAGCCCAAAATTTCCACCCTTTCTGGGTTCGAACTGGCAGCGGTGGGGAGGGTGTGATGATGGTTTCATGTGCACATCCTAGCTCCAGTGCCAGTGCAAAAGAAGCTTCACATTTGCCCACCGCTTATGCAGCCCAGTTCCCAACAGGCCACAGATCAGGACCAGTTCACAGTCCAGGAGTTGAGGACCACTATTTTAAAGCATGGATGTCCAACCTTTTGTCTTGCTTGGGCCGCACTGAGTGAGGAGGAATTGTCTTAGGATGCATATCTTTATTTTTTTTTCTATTTTTTATAAATATCTTGTGGGGTCACATTACTTGCCACATGCGACCCATGAACTGCAGGTTGGACATGCCTGTTTTAAAGACTGATTTTTATGGCATTTTTTTCCCTGCTGATTCTTATCTACAAGATCAATATTCAGATGTCAAACAAGAGAATGGAAAGAATCCTGAAAAAGATTTCATTTGAGAATTTTTTCCCTGACCTACCACGGTTTTAAGATTATTACTATGTTGTTCATTATCGGAATCTGTCAAGTTACAAATCTTCAAATAAAAAGGATAGGAAGAAAAATGTAAGCACCAGGTGATATTTCAAATGTTACACTGCTTATTTCCCACAATTGCTACTAGGTTTCAGCTACCACAAACTAGAAAAGCTAACAGGCCACTGTTCAAGGGTCACTTTTTTTGTTTTTGCTGCGACTGCAATTGAAAAGAGGTAGTCGAGGAGAATCAAAACATAATGTAGCCAAATGCAAGAAATAGAATTGTTATAATTCAACCAGCAGCCAGAATCATATCACCCATTAACCATTAATATAGGTGTGTCCAACCTTGGCAACTTTTTAAGACTTGTGGACTTCAACTCCCAGAATTCCCTAGCCAACGTTGGCTGGGGAATTCTGGGAGTTGAAGTCCACAAGTCTTACAGCTGCCAAGGTTGAACACACCTGCCATAATATGATTTCCTTACTTTTGTTACAGAATGTTAGGTGTATACAGCCACTTTAGTTGAAGCAGGGAGCAGACATTAGCTGAGTCTCCCCACCAAAAGCTAAGTAGGATCGACCTTCTTAGTGCTTGGATGGGAGACCACCAGGAAAGCCCAAAGCTGCCAATTAGAAAGGAAAACCAGAAGAAAAAAAAAACACACACACACACACACAGGCAGCGGCAATATCAAAGGCCTCCTGTCCTGTACTCTTTGTTAAGAAGACTACACAGACTGCCTCTCCCTGAGATCCAGCTGGATTTGAATCTTTCCCTCTCCAGAAACCATAATACGTTGGGAGACTTATGTAGCTCCCTTAGCTGTCAGAATAATAGAGTTGGAAGGGACCTTGGAGGTCTTCTAGTCCAACCTCCCTCCCTCAACCAGGAGACTCTATATATCATCTCAGATCCTGTAAATGGCTTCTTAAAAACCTTTAGTGATGGAGCACCCACAAATGCTGAAGGCATCATACATTGGGGTTATTAATCGTTTTGAAAACGTACCTTGAACTGGGCTTCCATTCCATTTGTTAAAAGATAAATATTTCAGTTACACCACCATACATTGCTGGCATAATTCCCCTGAAAATAGTTACAGTTACCAGGCAATTCTCAGGAACTGATGAGGATTCAAGCAGCAGCCACGAATTTCGCAGGAATCCCTCAATGCGCGATTCCGAGGGCGACTCTTCAGTTTTTATAGAGTCTACGTTTCGCCAAATCCCGGAGGCGAAAGTTGCGCTGCGGCGCATGCGCAGGGGATTTAACCCCTTCGGCCCCGCCAACCCTACCCGAGAAGGCTCCGCGCTCTTCTTACCTTTCGGAGCCGCTCGAGAAGGACGCTCTTGTTGCCTCCCGTGTCCAGGTTGCGCTGCTTCAGCTCGGCCCTCAGATCGATCACCCTCAGGTCGCTCAGGCGCCTCCGGGTCATCCCGCCTCCGAAGCTTTCCGAGTCGCCACCGCTGAGGGAAACCGTCGCTTCTGCGGCGAGCCCGGCCTGATTCTCCGCCGCCATAAGGGAAGACAGGCTTCTCGCGCAAAATTTTGGCTCTCAAAAAAAAAAAAAGAAATACCGAATGAAGCCCCACCCCCCGAAAAAAATTTTTTTTTTAAAAAAAAAACAAATTTCTGTAAACGGTAACGTCTATGAGGGGCGCGCGAGCGCTCCCGGCACGCATAAAATGGCGGGCGAGCTTGCTCTTTCTGCGCACGCGCAGGACTGGCCTGGTGAAGGATCGCTGCGCATGTGCGTTCTGCTTTTAACACGGCCCTAATTGGGAAAAGAGGCGGGCGGGGGCGCGCGAGACGTGGGGGGGAACGGCGGAAGAAAAAGCGGAGAAACGAAAGAGAGCCTGGGAGCGCATGCGCCTTGAGCATTAGCTTGGCCCGACTTGGAGGCGACTAAATATAGGGAGCCGAGAACGCGTCTATGTGCGCGTGCGCGTGCGCGCGTTTTTTTTTCTCTCCCATGTCCTTGCCTGAATAGGGAATGGTGCTGACTAAAAATAGAATTTTAAAAATGCGCAAATAGCCTTCTTTTCTCTAGACTAGCCAGATTCAAAATCCTGCAACCGTTCTTCATGTGATTTAGTCTCCAGGCCCTTAAATCATAGTTTGCTATTTTTTGCACTTTTTCCAAACTTTCAACATCTTTTTTTGTAATGTGACCAAAACTGGATATAGTATTCCAGGTGTGGCCTTACGAAGGCTTTATAAAGCGGTATTAATAATTTTGATTTTGATTCTATGTCTCTGCTTATGCAACCAAGGATTGTATTAGCTTTTTTGGTTGCTGCCACACGCTGCTGACTCACGTTAAAAATTTAAATGATCCGTCCACTAGGAATCCAAGGTCCTGTAGGAAGTTAGCACCCACCCCTCTCCTAGGAAAATGAGATATTTTAGGAAATATTAAAAGGGCAGAATATTTCCCCTAAACGGGAGGCAGAAACTCACCCCACCCCCCATCTTTGTCAATAGCAGAGCCTTAATAGGAATTGCCCAAAACCTTTTCATTACATCATCACCCAGCAAGGCTCAACCAAGCCTGGGACACAGACAGCTTACAAAGTTGACCATGGGAGTCTGATAACCAATCAGAATACAAGCTCAAATTCAAAGCCTAACAGAGGGCATAAACCCAGGCACTCTCAGCATCTCTGCCCTTTTTCTGCTCAGGAACTCAAGCCATGTGATCCTGTTCATCAATAAACCTTTCCAAGCAACTTCCATGAATCCAGTGTCTTTTCCCCCATTGGAACTGAACCCAGAAGGATATTTCTTCCAACAGTCCCTCTCACAGTTACTGTTTTTGAGCCAGGTTTTGCCTTGTACCTTCAGTTTTTCCTGCCCAGGTATAAAATCTTGCTTTTTTCCACACGAATATGTTGCCATTTAAGACTTTTTTCCCCCTTGCAATTAAAACTGATGGGGGCAGGAGAAGGGGGTCTGTCTGAATGCAGGTAGTCCTTGACTTACAACATTCATTTAGTGACCGTTCAAAGCTACAACAGTGACTTATGACTGTTTTTCACACAACCATTATAGTATCCCTGTGGTCACATGGTCAAAATTTGGACACTTGGCAACTGGCATGTATTTACGACAGTTGCAGTGTCCCAGGACAATGGAATCCCCTTTTGACAAGCAAAGTCAATAGGGAAACCAGATTCATTTAACAACCGGTTACTAACTTAACAACTGCAGTGATTCACATAACTGTGACAAGACAGGTCATAAAATGGGGCAAAATTCACTTACCTGACTTGTTTAGCAATGGAAATGTTGGCTCCATTGTAGTCATAAATCGAGGACTACCTGTAACTGTTTTCAGTAACAAGGAGCAGCTTTGATTAATGTTTCTAGTTTATTTGAAGCAACAAAGCAAGAATCTGATTTCTGATAAGAACCACTTCAAAACAGCCAGACATGAGAAATGCCCTAAAAGTTTAACTTTAATAACCTGAAAAATCATTATGTGGGAAATACACTTCCTGAATATGCAATTAGGCATTAACAGATCATGCTAAGAATATTGTGGGATGCTCTGAACGTTTACATGGTATATGAATAGTTGCTGAGCATGCTCTATAGATGTTTGATGACTCAAATGAAGCTGGCCAATTGATCAACACATTCCAAACCCGATATGTTTGAGCTTTCTCATTATTAATAATATAAAGTGATTTTTCTCACCTTGTACCTGTGGGAGACCTCAGATAGCATTTAGCACTATAGCAATAGCACTTGAAGCAGTCTACCCGTTCAGAGTGCTTTACGGCCCTTTCTCTAAGCAGTTTACAGAGTCAGCATATTTTCCCCAACAATCTGGGTCCTCATTTTACCAACCTCAAAGCTGAGTCAACCTTGAGCTGGTCAGGATTGAACTCCAGGCAGTGGGCAGAGTCACCCTGCAATACTGTGTTCTAAGCACTGTGCCACCATGGCTGAATGATAGATGGGTGGGTGGATGGCTGGATAGGGAATGGAGATTTTACAGTATCCTTCCCCGTTGACGCCCACCAAGCCACGCCCACAGAACCACTGGTAAAAAAAATTTGACATGGAACAACCATGACCTGGATGACTGAGAATCTCCAGATATTTAAACAAATAAAGTAGAAAAAGCCTTAGGAAATTCGAAATCCTAGCACTCCAAAGTTCAGGTAGTCCTTGACTTATGACCACAATTGAGCTCATTATTTCAACTGGGAGGTGAGACAGTTAAGTGACTTTTGCCTCATTTTGCAACCTTTCTGACTGCAGTTGTTAAGTAAATCTGGCATCCCCAAAGACTTTGCTCATCAGAAAGTCGCAAAAGGGATCACACGACCCCAGGACACTGTCTGCAACCGTCATAAATATGAATCAGTCACCAAGCATCCAAATGTAAATCACATGACCATGGGGGGGGGAATGTTGCAACAGCCTAACTGTGAAAAATAGTCATAAGTCACTTTTTTCAGTGCCGTTGTAACTGAGCGGTCACTAAATGAAAAATCCCCACCGCAAGAAACGTGGAGGTTCAGTGAGTCCCTTGAATTCAATGTTTCTTGAAACTTGGCAACTTTAAAGCACGTGGACTTCAACTCCCAGAATTCCCCAGCCAGGATGGGGAAACTCTGCTCTTAACTCGCTTAGCTCTATAGTTAAAGGGGTGGAAGGGACGCTGGGTTCTCGCTTGCGCGTGCGCGCCGAGTTCCGCGCGCTCCCTCCCTCCCTCGCTCCTGTGCGCGCACTCTTCCCGACTCCGCGAGGCCAGAGAGTTTCGGCCTGCCGCGCGTGCGCAGGCTGTTCCTCTTCCTCTTCAGTCATCTTACTCCCCCTCCCTCCCTTCCTTCCGCGCAGGCGCAGCTTGAGCGCCCCTCTCCCGAGGCCGTGCTTGTCTCTCGGTGTTAGGCCTTCCCGCCATTTTGTCTGAGGGGGAGAAAGAACCGGGCCGTAGAGGGGGGGGGCCGGTTGCGGCGAGGGGGAAAAAAAAAACAAAAAACAAGGGAAGCCGTATAGTTTTGTTGTTGTTTTTTTTGCTCCGGCGCCGTGATTATTGCCCCGCGATTTGTTTCGGTCGCTTCATGTGAGGAAAAGCGGCGCCTGGAAGCTCTCGCGGATGGCGGAGGAAGCGCAAGGGCCGGCCGGGCCCGTTGGTGAAGACGAGGCGGCGGTGGCGGCGGCAACAACAGCGGCGGGGCTGGCGGCTCCTTCAGCGGGCGGCTCCGGGACGACCCCCGCCGCGTCCTCGACCCCTCGGCGGCGCCTGAGCGACCTGCGGGTGATCGACCTCCGGGCCGAGCTGAAGCGCCGCAACCTGGACACGGGCGGCAACAAGAGCGTCCTCCTCGAGCGGCTGCAAAGCGTGAGCTTCTCGGCCGCCGCGCGGGAAAGGAGCGGGGGAAGCTCGGGGCCGAGGACTACAAGGCCCATCCCGGCAGCGTCGTGAAGTGGGGGTTCGCTAGAGGCAGCCTTCCAGGGATTACAACTCCCATCAGCCAGCCTTGGGGATGATGGGGGTTGAAGTGCTGTCTCTGTGGAGGCAGCCTTCCAGGGATTACAATTCCCGTCAAGCAGCCTTGGGGATGATGGGAGTTGAAGTGTTGAAGTGATGTGGAGGCAGCCTTCCAGGGATTACAACTCCCATCAACCAGATTTGGGGATGATGGGGGTTGAAGTGCTGTCTGTGGAGGCAGCCTTCCAGGGATTACAACTCCCATCAACCAGCCTTGGGGATGATGGGGGTTGAAGTGCTGTCTGTGGAGGCAGCCTTCCAGGGATTACAACTCCCATCAACCAGATTTGGGGATGATGGGGGTTGAAGTGCTGTCTGTGGAGGCAGCCTTCCAGGGATTACAACTCCCATCAACCAGCCTTGGGGATGATGGGGGTTGAAGTGCTGTCTGTGGAGGCAGCCTTCCAGGGATTACAACTCCCATCAAGCAGCCTTGGGGATGATGGGGGTTGAAGTGCTGTGGAGGCAGCCTTCCAGGGATTACAACTCTCATCAGTCAGATTTGGGGATGATGGGGATTGAAGTGCTGTCTCTGTTGGAGGCAGCCTTCAAGGGATTACAACTCCCATCAGCCAGCCTTGGGGATGATGGGGGTTGAAATGCTGAGTGGAGGGAGGAAGGATTTAAGGCAGCATTCCACAGATTACAGGTCCCATCAGCCAGCCTTGGGGATGATGGGGGGCGGGTTGAAGTGTTACCTCTGGGCAGCATAATTTAAGGCAGCCTTCCAGGGATTACAACTCACATCAGATGGCCTTGGGGATGATGGGGATTGAAGTGCTATGTCTCTAGGGGGCAGGATTTAAGGCAGCTTTCCATAGAATACAACTCCCATCAGCCAGCCTTGGGGGGGGGGAGGGGGATAGAAATTGAGACAAGCACTAGAAAGAAGGATTTAAAGTAGCTTTCCAGACATGACAGATTACAGTTCCCATGTACCAGTTAGGAGGAGGATGGGAACTGAAGCCCCGTCTCACCGGAGGGAAGGGGACTCAGGCAGCCTCACAGCAATTGGTGGCCCTCCACAACTCCCATTTTCTATGGAGATAGCAGTCATCCAGGTCATGGTTGTCCCAAAGGTATCTTTGGTACAACTTCCATTATTAGCCACTTTTCTGAGGTTGAGCTCATTCTCTCTGGAGGGCAGCATTCAAGGCAGCCTTGCCCCAACTTGCTGGTCTTCCAGAGATGACAGA